AATAAGTTTTGGTAGAAAAATCTTTGGGACCTTTAAAATTTTCAGAAAAATTTGAGGTATATGTCCGATTTGAGGGAGACTTTAGTTCTCGAATACTTTAATCGTTAACTGACTTATTTTTCAAATTATTTAACTTTATTAAATAAGCATTTTAACGGATCTGCGAGATTTTAAATAAATTTTTTTTTGTGATTTATTTGAGTAAAACACAAACTAACATAAGCTCAAAGTGAGACGGTCACTGAAAATCTCTAAGAAATTCTTTAAATTTAAAATTTTTCTTAAATTTCCCTTAATATTTATAGAAATTAATAATTTACATTCCTCTTTTGTTTTTAAATTTTTTTCAATTATTTTTTTTTAATTTTAAAATTTAGTTCTTACAAATTTGGCCAATTACTATTTATTTATTGATGTTACAAAGAAAGTAATTGCTTATCTCATTTTGGTGTCGATACTTTCTGTTATAGCAGAGTTTGTCGAACTTCCTCGAGATTTGTATATTGTACAGGTTTTTTTATTTTTAAAATATTTCTTTAATTTTTTTTAGAAACATAATGTATTTAATCGATTTGGAACTAAAATTGGCTGGTTTTGGACTTGTCTTTTGCTTTGTCCTTTTATGTTTAGTTTTTTTGGGTTTTTTAATTTAAAAATTAAATTTAGGTGGATTACTTCTTTAATTCACAATGAAAGTTATTTGAAAGCTTTTTATAGCCAAATACGTTTATTAATTGCAACAATTGGGTGGTATTTGTGGACAAATGCGTATATTTTTATAAAAAATATTTTTTGTTAACTGGTATTTTAAATACAGATTTATTAAATTTGAGGACCAAACAGGCGTTTGTCAAGGATTAAATAATTCTTCAAAGATTGATTGTTACAATGGTGGCGGAAAGTGGATTCCAGGTTTAAAAATAATTTATAAATTATTTTGATAATTATTGTGTCCCTCGAAGATTCTTTCTATTCCTATTTCGGATTTTAAACGTGAATATTTATATTTTGGTATCTAAAGAAAATTTAGTGTTAGTTTTAAATTTAATGAAAAATTAGGAATAAAATGTCGCGAGCACAATTCGATGCACCAATCCATTTTACTTCGAAGTTTATAACTTATAAAATTCGAATTTGGATTGACAGTTCTGGCATAATTTGTTATATCTCTCGAGCTCATTCTTATGCATTTTATGTTTAGTTCTGGTTTTGGTTTGAACTGAGTTTGCTGTAGACTGACCTCCCTCGAATTTCTATCCCATAACTTATTCTTAATCTATTTTCAGGTTTCGACGTAAGCGGTCACACATTTCTATTACTTTATAGTATTTTAATTGTATCTGAAGAGTCTTTCTCCTTCAAAAATTTGCCTTCAAAACCTCATTCATTTACGACAAATTTGCCAACAAATCAACAAATTAAGCGTTTTGAGCAGATCAGAAAATTTGTTGAGGTTTTTAAATAAATTTAAGAGAAAATTTCTTTTTTAATTTTAGCGAAATTTTATTGGCCTTTTTGTTCTACATTTACTTTGGGACTTTCAATTAATTGTGACTGCTTTATATTATCATAATTTTTTGCAAAAATTGGTTGGTGCTGCAATTGCTGTTGGTTGTTGGGCTGGTTAGTTTTTTATTTGTTTTTAAAGGGAACGGAATAGGTCTAGAATGGTTTTTTTTCTTCTTTCCTTTTTTGGACTGGTTCATACCAACATTGATACTCTTATTTTTTTATAAAACACTTGTTATTCAATGTACGTTGGGCACTATAAGACACAAGTGCGGCTGAAAAAGTTTTTGGTTACTTAAAGTCGGGGGTTCAAACTATATTTTTCAGTTTTCATATTAAATTTATCCACTAAATATATTCAATTTTTAGTTACATATCGTTTTTGGTTTGTTGTTGGATTTCCATTCCTTCCAATGAGGAGAAATGTTTGAAATTAAAAATTTATAGATAATTAATTTAAAAAATATATTATTTTTTACTTTACTCAATTTTTCTATTTATATCTCGAAGTTTTAACGAATAAAGTTCAACGTAATATTTAATGACTTTGCAATGCTAGATGATTTTCATTCATCTTTTATTTGTTAATTTATTTCATGCTTTGTTCCAAAATATATTTTTTAAATATTTTCTTAAGGTTCATAAAAATGGATTTTCTTCGTCTTTTTCCTCCTAAAAGTCGTCAATCTCGACTGGTTTTTTGTAACTATCGGCAAATGGGAATTTTCTGCTGGTCTGCTGACGAGCCAAATCAAATTGTTATGGTTTCTGCATTGGTTAGTGGTGATGAAAGGATTAATGCAGAAAAATCAAACGAAATTATAACTTTTGAAAACAAACCAGGCGTGTTATTCAGGCGTATTTTGGTTATTTTTGTTAATTTATTTTTTTAATTTTCGAATTTAGACAATTCTTCTTTCGCCTGAATTGCCAGTTGAAGCAGACTTTACTCAAATTTTGGTAAATAAAAATGGAAATTTGTTGGCTTTGGTAGGCAAATGTATGGTCTTCATTGTTGAATTGGACCCTGATTTTTGGGATTATCGACATCAAATTGGTATTTCTTTGGATTTTGATTCTTCTGTGGAACATCTCAAAAGCGAATATTATGCAAGGTTTTTTGTTTTTTATTTCTTAAAGCGCTTATTTTATTAATTATTTTTCCATAAGTTTATGACTTTCGTTCCGTACGTTTCTTCTCTGGTTCATAAAAACCTAAACGTAGAGCATTCAATATTTTTTTGCCATTTGTAGCTCATGTCCATTCATTTTGTTTTTTCCTCACTTAACATTGGGTTTAATCCCTGGATGCCAATATTTTAGTAAATAAATCAGATACTTATTTTTAATTTCTAGATGTGATCTTCTTCACTTCAATTTATTTATGCGCAAATATGCACCTTCAATTATAAAGGCCGTTTGGTTTGATCCTCAAAAAGATACGAAACAATATTTTGTCAATGAATTTCAAGCTTCTGGAGGGTTGCTTGCTCTGCTTTATTCAGACAGCGTAATAAGGTTTATCTTGTATTTATTTTGAAAATTTTCAATAATTTTAGACTTTACGATGTCAATTCAGTTATAGATAGACCATATTGTGTTATAGATTTCAACATTCTTTTGTTAGATAGAACGCCTAGCGAAAGTGGCGAAGAATTTAATGACAACAATTCTGGTATTGATAGCCGTCCTCATTCAACTTTTGGATTTGTTACTCAAATTGGTGAGTTTTTTTTAACAGTCTCTTTTTTTTGAGTTTTGAGACATCGTTTACCCCTTTTTATTTGGACTTTTTACGTACTACAATATATTTTTCATTTTTTTAAGTTTCTTTCGATTTTGGACCTATTTTTCCAATCGTCGACAGGTCAGCTAGCAATAAATCGAAGTCATCTTCTCTTTTTTCTGTTTTGTCTTTGGATATGAATGGCGGGATTTATATTGCATTTTTTCAATTTCATCATTCAAATAATACAATTTTATCAAGGTTTCTTCAATTTTTTAATAACATTTATATCTTCTAATTTTAGTCTAGCACCAATTGGTCCTTTGACATGCACTTTTCCAATTGTTGGGCCTCAGTCTCCGCCAATTTCCAGTCGACTTCTCTGTTCTTCTATAGATATTCATAGTATTCGTCACTCCCAATCACAATTAATTCCGATTTTTGCTATTGCGAGTGAAGATGGATTTTTGGCTCATTTACTTTTAGCTTACAACAATTCCTTCTCTGATCAAAATTTGTTTGAAATTGAGGTATTAAATCCATTTAACTATTGATAGGCATTCTCTTATTACCCATAGACGTTTATCTAAATATTTTTTACATATTTAATATTTTTAAGCAATTAACATCTGAGGGCTTCTTTAATCTGTTTGCTTTTGAATTTATGCAAATTTCTTCTGATGACAAGGCGTCCAAGACTGGAACGAAAAATTTGAAGAAAAAGGCACTTACATCGTTAAAAGCTTCTTCAATTAAATTGCTACAAGGTAAGGAATTTTTTATTTTGTGGGTCTTGTTTTCATTATTCCTTGAGATCAAAACTAGTTTCCATCAATGAATTTTGAAATAGGCACCCCCATATGTTATTCACAAAGTGGAATTTGACCGAACAAAGCTGGGATAGAGTCCGCTTACAACCTTCATTTTTTTTTAATTAAAAATATTTAGATCCATTTGAACGATATTCTTCTTCATCATGTTCTTATTTTGTAATTTGTTCTCGTGATCTCTTCCGAATCGACTTATCCTCTGTTCGAGTTCAGTTGATTGAAAATTGTGGTGTTGATCAATCTAAAAATCAAAGTATTTCTTTACCTCAGTCATCAATTCATCAATTATTATCTTTTAATGACGATGGGGTTATTTCTTTTTATTTTTTATATTTTTTTAAAATTAAATTTAAAGGTAATCTCGTCAATTGCTTCATTTGAATTGTTACGCTTTCCTCTTTCCAGTACATTTTCTAATCTTGATATTAATCAACCAATTAACAATTACAAATCTCAACAACATCAACTACTCGCTGCTCTTTGTACTTCTCAATTTAATTTAAATGAAAATGGGACAGATCAAATAAAATTCTCTCATCATTTTTTGGCAACTTTATTTAACAGGTTATTTTTGTTTTATTAAAAATTAAATAATTCTTAGATATTATAATTCTTCTCATTTGACTAACAATTCACCATTGTCACCTGTTAATCAACAAAAATCGTCTTCTGCTTCATTACACCAACAATTATCAGCAGAAATTCGTCGTCAATTGAATGAAGGTGTTAGTGCAGATAATTTGTCTGCTACTCTTCCTTCAATTAATTTGGACAGTGAGGCATCGGTTAATTATATTACAATAAGATTTTAATATAAGTCATGCCTCACGATGAGATACACCCAAAATTAAATTCCCCTTGAAATTTTCACTAATTTCATTGATTCGAAAATAAAATTTCTCTAGATTTCCCAACGAATTTCTACTCTTTCACTCATGCAAAATTCAATTCAAAATATTTTTTTAAACAAAGCATTACCTGTTCGTGAAAGAGCTATTGACTACACCTTAAAAAGGTTTGTTTTGATTTTATTATTTTAAAAATTAAATATCGATTTTTAGGGCAGAGAATATTTTAAAAACTTCTTCAGATGTTGATAAACTTCGAGAGAGCACTCAACAACGGCTAATGGATTTGTTTAGACAAATTAATGATATTAAAGCAATTATTCTTAAAAGGCAGCATCAATATCGATTATTGGATGAAAAAATACAAAAGGTTTTTTATATTTAGATTGGGATTTTTGAATTGAAAAATTATTTTGATGGAATTATTAGGATGATTTACTATTTATCACCAAAAATTCATGTTTTCGATAAAATATATTCTATGATAGTTCATCAATGTTTTTTAAACTTCTTTGGTTAACATATTTTGAAAGTCCTGTAAAATGAAAACCCCCTGGAAAAAATAATACAAAAATATTTGTTGTAATAGGAACGTTTTTTAATTTTTATTTTTAATTTCTAGATTGCCCAAATTCTTCAACCAATTATGTTCACAACTTCAGAAGATGAAATTGAAGCTTTAGATAAATTACAATTTATACAAAAAAGAATATTTCAATGTCGACGCTGTATACAAACGGTAAAGAATAAAAAATTTTCTAATTTAAATTAATTTTTAGCTTAATTCTCGAATTAACGAGTCTCGACAAAATTTATTTGGATTTGCTAATAAAGAAGCAACAACAGCAACAACTTCTTTTAATTCTGAATTAATTCCTGCACAAATATTTATTCTTTCTAAAAAGTTTTTTTAAAAATTATTTTATTTTAATTTTTATTTCTTTTAGTGAGCGCCAATGCAACAAATTACGTGAACAAATTATGTTTTTAGAAAATAAAATTGGTTAATTTAAATTAAATTTTTTTGGAAAAATTTTTCATTTTTTATTTTATTTTAAATTTGGAAAATTTTATTTTAAAAATTTGAAAAAGTAAAATTTATGCTTTATTAATTTTTTAAAGATTTTTTAAAATTAGTAGAAGAAGGGGGCTTTTTTCTTCTCTAAAGCTAGCTCCATTTTTGTAATTTTTACCCATACTTAAATTTTCTAGAAAATTTTTCTTGAATTTTTTCTAAAAATTTTGTGGATATTTAATAATTGGGTATTAAGAATTCTGTCCATTTTTTCGTTTTTTTCAAATTATTGATTGAAAACTAAACGATTTCTAAACCTTTATTTAAATCTAAATATCAGCTGCCTCTAACTAGACATTTAAAAATAAAAATGTCCTTCTTTTTTAATAATTTTATTTTGAAATGAATTTATTTATTTTCTAAAAATAGTTAACGTTATCTTTTATGGACTTTAATATCATTTTTTATCTTTACCCCTATATCAATTTAATAATTTTTGAACACTTAAAAAACTTTGGATTTTAAAATTTTAGAAATGTTTCTCCATTTTTTGGCAAAAATTTTTCTTTAATTTTTCAAAATTCTAACCAAAAACTGAATTTTTTGGTTGTTGTTTACTTTTATTTAAATATCTCAAATATACATTAAACATCTCTTTATTAACATCTGCTATAAACAAAAAATTCTTTTTTTAATAAATCAAAGTCTGTATATATTCTCTACATTATTATTTAATTTTTATGTAAATTCTCTCATTTTTGAGAATTTTTACTATTATGTCCCAATTTGTTTGGCATGTGATTTAACGGTAGGACAATTGTGGATGGGCAATTTCGGTCGGAAAAAATGGCCCAACCAAATTCGCTGTCACAGTAAAGTTCCTTGTTAATTTTATTTGGGAGTTTTTGAGGGGCTTGTGCTAATATTTTGACTTGCTGAAAAAACCTCAACATAAACACAAAAATATAATGAGATACCAAAAAATATTCCGCCTTTCCTGAAATTATCCCATCCACATTCGCAATTGTCCTAACACAAATTAAACCGTTATATAGTACATACAAAGATTTACATAAAATTAGACAATAAAAATATTTATTAGAAAAATATGCAATAATATTTATCTGAAAAACCAAATAGATTAAGGTAGTTGATGTTGTTGATAGTCTCTCTCTCCCTCTAGAATTTTTTTTAATATTTTGTAAATATTTATTTGGTTTTGTTGCGCAGACTTTTTTGAATTGAACTTTTTAAATTATTTTTCTTAAAATTTAGATCAGTTTTAATTTTTTTAATTAAAAAAATAATGGTCCAATCTGAAAGTGTCAAAAAGAAAGAAGATGTTGTTTTTGGCAAGGGAGATTTTGTTCTTTACAAAAATAATTCTAGCGAGAAAAGGTAAATTAAAACAAAGGAAATTTGTTTGAAGAGAATTTATAAAAATATTTTTAAATTATATCTAAAAATACCCCTCTGGGATTTAAAATCACTTAAAAAATAATGAGTGATATGTATTAAACTCCAGTGGTGCTTTTCAGAAGATTTGCAGCAGAACCATTGTATGTAGTCCTTCCTTATTCTTCCCTATCATTCCTATTCCTTTGCTATGTAACTCATAAATTCTGAAATATTAAGGAGAGTCTTATAATCATTTAAAAAGTTCCAAAAACATACTAGTTGATTTAATTGTTCAAAGAGCAAAAACAAAATCGACATTTTTATGATTCAACCTATTATATACAATTAATTGGCCATTGTGATATTTTTCCCTTTTTTATGTGAAGTCATAATTCAATAAATATTTCCAAACCTTCTTATAACAAAAGAGCATTTATTCAAAAATAACGGAAATATGTAATTAAATAACCCTTCAGAATTAATTAATTATTGTGTGGGAGTGAGTAATAAAAAACAATTTTTTAATTTAATTTTTAAGACAAACTTCTCTCCCTTCTTTTTATTTATTTATTTTCATTATATAACTAACTAATTAGTTAAATATATTTTTATTTATTTTTGTGCGCATCTCCTTTTCCCTTTTATATATTTTATCACCTCTACCCCCTTTCCTCCCCCCAACTTTGGAGTGATCGATCAACATTTGATCATTGCAATTGATCAAAGAAAAGCGTTTAGTATTTGGTGCTTTTCTTTTTATTTATTTGCAACAAAAAAATTTTTGATTTATTAATTTTTTTATTTTTTTAAAGACAAGGACATCAGGGAAAAACATTTATGAGAAAGAAAGTGGCTGAAGCAAAAGGTCAAGAGCCTGCTACAATTTGTATTGGCAATAATAAGTAATTTTTTGTTTATTTTTGAAACCCCAAAAGGGGAACTTCTAACTTTCTGGCACTGATATATGTTGGCATTTATTGAGTAGAAATTTCCTCCTTTTTTACCGTATATGCTCTAATAATTACCCTGAATAATTATTGTTTCGGTTTCTCGCTGGAGGGAGTAATTATTTGAGGGAGGGTATAATTAATAGAGCATATACGGTACTCGCAATTTAAGTTGATTTTCCGTAATTATATTTTCTGATGAGAATCTGTTTCAATATTCTGATTACTCCCAAATAGTCGGATCTCGATTTTTGATAGAACTTTGTCAACCCCCAAGGTAGTGTGACAATTGTGTCAACCATCAAAAATCAAAAACCACTAATTTCTAAAAAGCAATTTTTAATATTATTTAACATTTTTGAAAATTTTTATATAAATTTTTACATTTTCTGGATGCTCATTTAAATCCTTAAATGTTATCCTCTTTTAAATAAAAAATAATTAGTATATTTATTGTTGTTATAGAAACAGAAAATATTTTACAAAATAATTTTCATTCATTAATTTATTTTTATAGTAACAACAACAGTCAAAGAAAGCGTGTCGGATCACAATTGAGCACAACTAGTGGCATTGATGGAGGTAAATAATTAATTTAAAAGAGACTGAATTTTAATTTATTGATAAGGGGCGACTGATTTTTTTTGTAATTTTTATTTTTCTTTCAACAACGCTTTTGCTTGTTAATTTTACATTGATAAGCTATTTTGTTGCTTGCTTTTAGACAAAATTAAATTAATCCAGAAGATCGACCTACTAAAGATTTTTACCTTTTGGTATAGGAAAAGTATCTTAAAATAAAGTATCTTAAATATGAGAGAGGTATCGTTTGAGGGAGTATCTTCTAATTCTGGTACTATTTTATAGAGAATCTGGTGTGAAACATTATTTTGGGATTTTCACATCTCCATTTGACTCAACTTCTAATGCAAAAGAAAGTTTTTCGTGTTTCGTAAAAAGAACTTGTTCGTTTTCTTTTTCACAAACTTACTTTAACACAAAAATCATTTGTGGTTTCGATCTTTTGGATTTAACCAAAATTAACTTTTTCGATTTTTGATTAACTGATAATTTTTTGTTTGTTTTGTTTTTGCAAATTTAATCAAAAATTTTTTTTAAATGCTTTTATTGCCTTTTTTCTTTTCCTTTTATGTTAAAAATTATAAATGATTCAAAAAGAACATTCAAATACAACACTTGAAATTAATCAAAATAATAATTTATTATTCCCTTCATCTTTAATTTCAAAAAATTATTCTCCAAAAAATCAAAGAAAAGTAAAAATACAAATTGGTGGAAATGAAATCCCAACACTTTCCAGAAAACCTGGAATTGATTCAGAACCACTTTTAACTACAATAACACAAAACTCTACAAGTTTAAATAATTTACCGCCGTCTATTAGAAGAAATAATTCCCATCACAGCTTTTTTGGATTTACTTATCACTCAAGTAAAGGAAAAAAATTTTTTTGGGAAAAAGGAGGGAAGGATCTTTAAATTGTTGGAGAATTGGGGAGTAAATTAGGTAGTCAGAAATATTTTTCAGATTTTAAACTTGCTCTCAAAAAATTACTAACCCACAAAATTCTTCATTTACACAGCTATTTATTCAATATATACAATACATAAATAGGTACAATACATATCACAATACATATAATATTACAATTCAATCAAAATACATATATCTGAGATAAGGAATTATAACACACAAATACCTAGGTGTATAGCCTAACAATAATATATACAACACACAACATTGAGTATAGGAAGGGGGACAAAAGAAAATATACAACAAAAGGTACAATTTAAGGATTTTGAGGGGGAGGAGGAGGAGGAGTATCAGGAAGGCCAGCAGACACGTTCTCATACAATCCACTCATCGTTCCAAGATTCAGAGCAGGAAGAGGCGCTGGTGGTGGTGCAGCAGTTGGCGGTTGTCCTTCCGTGGCTTTCTCGGTTGGAGCAGCAGTAGTCGGAGCCAGTGGCGCAGGAGTGCTTCCTTCTGTCTTCGCTTGCTGGTCCTTTTCTTCCTTCTTGGACACAGCTGCTTCTTCAGGCTTGGTGGTGACAGCCTTTACTTCTTCCTTCTTTTCTTCTGGCTTTTTGGTAGTCTCAGCAACCGGCGCCGCAGGAGCCTGCACGTCTTCTTTCTTCGGTTCACCAGCACTCTTCTCAGTTTCCTTAGATGGCCCTTCAGCTTTTGATCCTTCCCTTTTAGACGACTTGACTCCACTTTTGCGCTTGCTGTGCCCGACTTTTGTTCCGCTTGTGGTCCTCTTGCTGGAAGAAACCTTCGTCCCGCTTGTGGTCCTTTTGCTCCCAGAAGCCTTCGTCTCACTTTTGGTCCGAGCGCTGCGCTGGCTTCCCTCTAAAATGAAAACATTATTTTAAGGAAATTAAAACAGACGGATATTCCTTACTTTTCTTGTCTTCCTTCTTGCCTGCAGGACCAGTGTCGACGATAGCGGTCTTTGTGCCATCACCAGCCTTCGATTGAACAGCCGTACTCGATGTTGACTTTGTAGCAGCTGCCTCCTTTCCTTTGTTCGGAGTCCTTTTGCTCGAAGACTTCGTCCCGCCTGTGGTCCTTTTGCTCCCAGAAGCCTTCGTCTCACTTTTGGTTCGAGCGCTGCGCTGGCTTCCTTCTAAAATAAAAACAATATTTTATGAAAATTAAGATGGATTCCTTACTTTTCCTGTCTTCCTTCTTGCCTGCGGGTCCGGTGTCGATAGCGGTCTTTGTACCATCACCAGCCTTAGACTGAACAGCCGTACTTGATGTTGACTTTGTAGCAGCTGCCTCCTTTCCTTTGTCCCGATGGCTTTTGCGCTTACTCGACTTCTTTCCTTTCTCCCCTCCACCTTCAGTTGCACCTAGAATTTTAATGAGTTATTAGCTTTACTCGAAAATTAAGTCTATTTTGTGTTTACCTTTCTTTTTGTCAGCAGCTTCCTTTTTCTTCTTATCATCCCCTTTTTTGGGTGTTTCAGCCGGAGTTCCTCCTTCTGCCTTCTTTGTCTTCTCCTTGGATTTTCCTGAATGCTTGCTGCGTTTGCTTCCGCCCTTCTTGGTCTCGCCAGCAGTAGCTTCAGCAACCGGCTTTCCAGATCCCGCCTTTGACTTGTCGCCTCCCTCTTTCTTCTTAGCATCACCGCCGCGCTTGCTCGTGGACTTGCCCTTATGACGAGACTTCTTTTCATCAGCATCTTTAGCTAAAAAACAAGAAATTTTTAATAGAGAAACCAAACTAGCAATAAATAAATTTACCTTTTTTCGTCTTTTCCCCTTTTGCAGGTGTTGTAGCAGCAGGAGCAGGACTTTTGCTATCCTTGCGGCCTCCGCGCTTGGAAGTTGACTTCGCTTTCGATGACTTCTCCTTCGTCTTTTCAGGCTTTTTCTTGTCCGCACCTTCGGCATCCTTCTTAGGCTCTGTCACTGTTGATGGAGATGGCTTTGAAGATGGAGGAGGCTCAGCAGATGTAGATGTTTTCTCGGCAGATGATGTTTCAGAAGACGGAACTGGAGCAGGCGGAAAGACTGGAGGAGGCTCAACATGAAGAGGGAGAGGGCGCTCATCCTCGACCACAATTCGCAATTCCTCGTCTTCATCCAGCAAGGCCATGGTGTCGACTGTTTTGGTAGAACGTTTGGAACGTTTGCTTCTGCGTCTACTGGGCTCCGGCTCGACAGGATCAACATTCTGAAAAAATAAAAAAATAATAGAAACGTTTTTTAAACATAAGAGTAAAGTATCACCTTTCCAGCTTGTCCTTGACTGAACATGAAGAATCCAGCAGCCAGCAGAGCTAGAAGAAGGAGCAGGAAGAACATCCTTGGATTTTGTGTTGTTTTTGAAGTTTTGTTGTTTGAAGAGAAATGAAGATTTGATAGTAGGTAATCCTTTCGGAAGAGGCCGCTTTTTATAGTATGGAAAATGCGGGCAGCGAATCTTTTGAACTCAATCCCCCGTTATGCGACCACTGGAATTTTTCTTACATTTTTTAATTTAACTCAGGAATTTACATTTAAAGATCCTCCCTTTAAAGCCTTAATTAATTTTTGCCTTATTTTATTATCTTTAACTTAAATTTAGCTTTGCTTTTTTCCTTTAATTTGCTTTTTTTTGTTAATTCCTTTTTAATTTCATTTTTTAATTGAAGCAATTTTTATTTATTTCCGTTAGGAACTGATCATGGATTCCTTTCATGGAGTTCTTTTAGAAAAAAACCAAATGGAAATGCTGATTTTGAAAGTGGCGACTTCCCTCTATACGATAATGAACCTGTCCACAATTTTTTGGCACCATATATCAGTGGCTACACAACACCTGGGCCGAGGGAGAGGGAAGCAAGCAAACAGAAAAAGGTGAAAACATTTCAAATTTTAATTAGTAAAATGTTAGGAATACTCGAATTTTTGTCAAAAATTCGAGTATTTTGTTTGGAGTAGTCGATTCATAGTCTCATATTTTTAGCGAGAGGGATGGACGCAGGTTGTTATGAAATAGAATCCCTATATTAAGACCTCTCAAATGATATGAGAATTACTTGAATTTTTCAGACCGATTGACCTAATTTGAATCCAATTTTACTGCCTATTTATTTTATTTTTGGCAAAATGTATTTGACAGTTTAAGATTTTTTAAAATAAATTTCCTTTCTTTTTATTTTTTTAAGTTCATTTTCTAGTTTTCATTTTTTTAGTTTTTTATTCATTTTTCTTTATATTTTTAAGATCCACAAATTTACATATTCAATTCCTTTTTAACTAATTAATTTTCCCTATGATGCCCCTTTATCGGGCTCTAGGCAATAACCTAGCGCCTCTTTACGAAGAAGAAGCTCCAACATTTTACGTTGGTTGTTTAACACCAAATCCCCAAGAAGGAGTTCCACCCGCTCATGATTTTTTAAGTGGTTATACAACACCTGGACCAAATGAAAGAGAAGCTAGCAGATATTTAAAAGTATTTTTAGATTTCCAATTTTGGTGTTTATTTAATTATCCCTTCCTTCAATTTTATTTTTAACTTTTTATTTTTTAATTTAGGCAAATCTCGGCGTTATGTTGGGTGTCTATCTGCCTACAATTCAACACATTCTCGGTGTTACAATGTTTATTCGTCTTGCTTGGTGTGTTGGTGTTGCTGGGGTTGGACAAACATTTCTTATGCTCTTTCTATGTTGCCTTTGTGTAAATTTTACATTTTATATATTAAAAATATTCTAATTGATTTTTAATAAACCATTTAATTAATTACCCTATTTCCTAGGCTTATAGGAAAGATTAAATATTTAATACATGGTCTATGAAGCTGATTTTTGTCCGTATAACCCCCCTCTTCCCTAGTTTGTGGTGAGAAATTTGTTTCAGTAATTTTATTTTTTAGTAAAATCTTTAATTATATTTTTTAGACCTTTCTCACGTGCATCAGTGTATCTGCTGTTGCTACAAATGGAGTTGTAGAAGGAGGCGGTGCTTACTTTATGGTATACTTTTTTTATTTTTTGTGTAAAAATTTGTTTTCAAGATTTCTCGAAATTTGGGACCTGAATTTGGTAGTGCCGTTGGAATACTATTTTATTTAGCCAACACTGTGGCTACAGCAATGTATTTGGTTGGAGGCGTTGAAATTCTATTGGTTTTTTAAAATTTTAATGGGCCCTGAAATATTTCATTTACTTACTATTTTAGTTATATCTATTCCCTGCTTTGACCATTGGAGGACATGAAACTCATACGGATACAGGTTCAGTTTTTTATTTTTGTTTTTTTATTTTAATTTTTTATGGTCAGAAATACCCATTTAATTATTTTTAATTAAAAGAGGTATTCAGGACTTGTTTATATTTTCTGGGGGTTTGTCCCAACTTTTATCGTTTTATCAGTTAATTGTAAGCCTTCTGTTTTCATTCATCCTCTGCATAGTAGAATTAAGAAAATTACAAAAAGTTCACTCACAATTCGCGAGTCTTTTGTTAAGAGAATTACTTGGCTTACTCCTTCCTAATGAGTTCAGAAAATTGTTTGATTAATTTTTTATTTTTTAAGGAATATTTGGAATGATGTCCAACAATTTACGCTTCTACGGAACAATTCTTTTGATTGTCGAATTTTTGATCGTTGCTATGGGTGTTCGTTTTGTTCAACTTTTAGCACCGGTAATTAATTCTAAAAAATTTCTTTTCTCTCTCTTTCCAATTTTTCCAAAAATAGAAAAATGTAAAGAATGTCCTTAACCTTCTCTCTCCAGTTTATTTTTTTGACTGTTTGCCCTTCATCTTTTTTTTTATTATTAATTATCTATTTCTGAAGAGAAGAAATGTCACATTAAATTTTAAATAAATTAAATAATTGCCAAATAAAAATTTTTTTCTAAAAGATTTCTTTGGTTTGTGTAATTTTTTCAATTCTTGCATGTTATGCTGGTGCTGTTGAAAAAACTCTTTATCCAGATACTGGCCAAAGGTTTTTTTAATTTAATTTAAATTAAAAACATTTCATAGAATTTGTATGTTGAATGACCATTTACTTCAAGCAAAAATTGTTTTACCTCCAGAAGCACCAATTTCTGAAATTTGTAATTATTGTAATTGGACAAATTCTGAATTGTTTGTTTTTAATTTTTAAATTAATTATAATTTATTTTTTAAAGAAAATCTATATTAACTAATGCCTATGTAAATGCTACTCAAATGAAACTTTCCTGTGTTAATGGATATCCTGGTTATGGAAGTAAAGCTTTAATTCGTAGGTTTTTTATAAATTAATAAATTTTTGAGTTGCGTTGTGTTATCTTGATACATATGTAAATTTAAAATAGTGTTTTATTTTTATTTGGGTACACCCCAACTTACCGCAGAGCTATAACTTTGTTCAAAATTGTCGAATCCGGGACGCCCTGGTATGGTTCGATTCAGCTCGTCGAGGCGCATCGAACCACATCAGGGCGTCCTGGATTCGCAATTCTGAACGAAGTTATAGCTCTGCGGTAACTTGGCCTGCTCCCTTTTTTTATTTATTTTTCATTATCGTGTCAATTAATTTTTAATTTTAGAAAATCTTGGCTCAAATTATCCAAGTTTTCTGCAATATTCTTATGGAAAAGAAGCAAATCCAAAAGTAGAAGTCTTTCAAGATGTCAAAACAACTTTCTTTTTAATTTTGGCTATTTACTTTCCAGCAGTTACGGGAATACTTACAGGAACAAATATGAGTGGTGATTTGGCTAATCCACAAAAATCGATTCCTGGAGGAACTATTGCAGCACAATTGACAACTTCTTTTATTTATTTTTCTTTGGCCCTTGTATTTGGTGCAGCAATAAGTCCAGAATTGTTAAGGGATAAGTATGTATTTGTTTTATATATTTTGGGATTTTATTTAAAAAAATTTTTTTGAAAATTTTATGGTTATTGCTTATAAATTTCCTGATTTTCCCCATTTTTCTTAATTTTCAGATACGGCCAATCTCTACATGGTGGAATGGTTGTTGCCTCTCTCGCATGGCCGAGCGAGTGGGTACTTCTAATAGGCTCTTTCCTATCGACATTTGGTGCTGCTCTACAATGCCTTTGCAGTTAATTTCTTAAATATTTTTAAAAAAATAAATCTTTGGTTTTAGGTGCTCCCCGTCTTTTACAAAGTATTGCAAAGGACGACGTTATCCCTTTTCTACAACCTTTTTCGAAAGTTACAAAAAAGAACGAGGTCCTGGACACTCATTTGTTTACCCCTTAATTAATATTTATTTTTAGCCTTTCTATGGTTTAATAATAACAACATTTATCGCTGAATTGGGAATCTTAATGGGAGCAATGGACAATATTGCTGCTGTTGTAGATTTTTTCTTTTTGATGTGTTATGCCTTTGTTAACATCATTTGTGCACTTCACTCAATACTTGGAGCACCGAATTGGCGACCAAGATATGTTTATTACCATTGGTTTGTTTTTTATTTCCTAGTATCATAAAAACAAAGTTAATTCTTTTTGAAAAATTGCTATTTATTTTGAATTTTATTTCCGTTAAACTAAAAAATTGTTGCAATGTTTTCAAAAAACCTAACTGCCAATCGCCCATGAACTAGAACCGACACAAAAATTTATAATTTATGTTAATCGTTGTAGGTCTTTATCGCTACTTGGTGCTGCTTTATGTTTCTTCATTATGTTTAGCACTCATTGGGACTATTCAATTTTATCTATCCTTCTTTGCGTAATAATTTACAAATATGTTCAATGGAAAGGGTAAAAAATATTTTTACAAATTAAATAAAATATTTTTAATTTTAAGTGCAAAAAAGGAATGGGGTGATGGTATTCGCGGTTTGGCTCTAACAACAGCTCAGTATAGTTTAATGCAAATTTCTGAAAAGGATCCTCATCCTAAAAATTGGAGGTAATTTTTTTATCAATTAATACATTAATAGAAAATATTTTTAGGCCCCAACTTCTTATTCTTCATTCAATGCCTTGGTCAAAAGAATTGGTTGATGTTCGATATTTAAACTTGCTCAATTTTGCGGCACAAATGAAAGCAGGGAAGGGTCTTACAATGGTCGTCTCTTTTCTTCGAGGTAATCCTAGCAATGAGGAAGATATGAAAGCAGCACAACAAGTAAAAACTAGAATGGAGAATGATATGCAGCAATTAAGATTAAGAGGGTTTGCTAAAACATTGCTATATGATGAAGATCAGGTTATTAGTAAATAGTTTTTAGAAAATTATTTTTTTTATTTAGATAGGAGGAAGTGTTAATGCTTTAATTCAAAGTATTGGAATTGGTGGACTTAAACCAAACACTCTTTTGCTTAGTTGGCCGACTCGAGAACCGTCAGAGGATCAAGTCGTCGATTCGGAATATCAAACATTCACAGGTTGGGGGAATTGTTTTATGTAAAGTTAAGATAACTTTTTGCATTTAGGACAGAATTTATCAAAATATTAAAAAATCTAGAATCTCTCCTTTACATCAAAATTTTGACGATTTCAGGCGAAATGGACCTGATCGTTTTATTTTCCTCTTTTATTTTGTCCAGGGCTGGTTAGAATAAGTAAATCCCCTGCCAATTTTTTAAACCCTCTACTAATTTTATTTTCTTCAACCTTTTAGGTTAAAATCCTGTTAGAGCCTCGGTTCAAATTATAGTCGAAAACATTTTTCCAATCTTAGGTTAGAATGTTTATTAATTTTCTAATTTAAAAATGTTTGATAACTCTGAAAACTCTCATAATTATTTAGTTCTATTAGATGCATAATTTCATAAATTCTAAGTAACCTATTTTTATATTCCTTTTTTAGACAAACTTTTGGCTGGTGCAGTTAGCGGAATGGCACTTGTTGTTGCTAAGGGCATTACTGACTTTCCCAACAATGTAAAGCTAAATGGTCATTTGGATGTTTATTGGATTGTTAGAGATGGGGGTCTTTGCCTTCTAATAACATTTTTGTTGAGGCAAAGCAAAGTTTGGCGGCACTGTAAAATTAGAATTATTGCTGTTGCTCGGCAACAAGAGAATAGTACAAAATTAAAGCAACAATTACAAACTTATGTTTATCAATTACGTATTGATGCTGAAATTTTGGTAAAAAAAGTTGAAAATAAAAGAGAAAAATATTTTTTGTAGGTAACTGAGCTTAGTGACCCAGAACTTTCAAAAACAGCTTTTGAAAGGACACTTTTGATGGAAGAAAGGTCGAAGATGTTGAAACAAATGCAACGTAGAGGAATTGCAAATAACCGTCAATTGAATGAACCTGGAGGTGATTCTGATGACAGAGCTCTACCTGTATATTTTATTTATTTTTTAAAATCTTATAAAATGTAATTGTAACAGAATTCTTCACCTCAAGCTGAAGACACATCTTCTAGCAATGACTCTTCCCAGAAAGAACAGCCACTTGAGAATAATGAAGGTTTTGTGTACTCTAATAAAATATTTTTAAAGTAAATTTAGAAATTGGAGACAAAGTTTCTGATAACGATGAAGGTGATGGACAAAACAGGAAAGAAAGGTACATATGTGGTTTTTAATCATTCACTACAGTGATGATTCATTATAGGATATACACAATATTATTAGTACACTTCATTTTAAGATTTTTTTGCTTATGTTATCTACTAGGTTGGGTAGTCTTCGACATTCCCTAATCTAAGATCCAACTTTATAAGCATTTCTACATAATTTATTTATGAATCCCCAATTTAAAGTACTCATTATCTCCCGCGACAACCTTCACTTCCTTTCACTGAAATGGATGGTGAGAAACAAAAACGATTAAAAGCCTTGGACCGTAAAAAGGTTCACAAAATGCATGGGGCAATTCGTCTCAACGAGCTTATTTTGGAACATTCCAATGAAAGCCAACTTGTTCTATTTTCTTTACCAAAACCACCTACACATAAAGACGATGTTGATGATTATATTCATTATTTAGAAGTTTGTTTTTGGACTTTTTTTTTATAAAAAATATTTACTTTTAAGGTAATTTCTGATAAACTTCAGCGGGTACTTTTCGTTAGGGGGACTGGTGCTGAAGTTATAACAACAAGTTCTTAGATCTTAACAAAAACAATTCTCTCTCCACTTATTTCTCTTAATTAAGTGATCAAAAAGATTTTTTTTATTTATTTTCCTCTATTGATTATTCTTTATGTTTTTCCCACTGATTTAATTTACCTGTGCGAATTTCTCCTTTTGACAAATAATTTATATATATTTAACTATTCGGTGCGATCATAATTAGCCGCGTATTTTTTCTAGATTGAATAAACACAAAAAATAGTTTCAACTTTTTTTTGTGACTTATGCTATTTTGTAGCCCTGAATCTGCTCTCTAATCTCACATAGGGTCTTTTCACGTTTCATGTCATATACTCGTTTCAGAACCTCCAGAATACCCCTAACTCGGAACGCGTTTTTTGAGCTTTAGCGGAAAATTTTATAATATAAACAGAAATAAACCAATCCAAGTGAAATTTTTCATATATGTTCATCATGGGGTTATCCATCAAATTATTAAATTTGAGATTTTTTGGTTAGGTATTTCAAGAGTTATGGTCGAAAAAGTCGAATCAGGCATATTTTACAAATTTCAAATTTTCTTGAAAAATTTTTGGATTTGATATGACTTGTAATATACCATTCGAAAGCCCTTTCTGAGTTACACAAAATAGTATTAACAAAATTTTATAAAATTTTTTAATTAAGAATTAAATTTACAAAAAACCCTAATGTCAAGTAAAGGAAAAAACGAGTAGAGATACCCCCAAAAACTCAAAATTTCGAACTTTGCGTAAAATCATCCGATTTGGTTAATTCGAACGGTATTCAGAAGCCCTCACAGTTCTATATGAGAAATCAAACCGAAAATACTTTTTTGGTACACAGGGGTCGAAAATACACAGGGGTCGAAATTTCGACTTTTTTCTCGTTCGAATTTTCAAAATTTTCTTTTTTCCGCTAGTTAGAGCATTTGAAGAGCTTTCGATTGATATATCACATGCCAACCATTTACCAATAATTCTGAAGATATTTCGATATATTTGCCAAAAAACAGCAATTTGACTACCCCGAATTTTTCGACCATAACTCTTACTATGCTTAACAAAAAATTTTAAAATTTTAGAGGCTGTTAGAGGTGCCTCTAAATTATCTCCATGGTGATTATCTCGTTGATTGATACTATTTTTGCTTATATTTTTACTATTTTAATTTTGAATAAAATACGCGGATAATTATGATCGCAGCGAATATTTATATAGCGACCCCAAAGAAGAGTAGTTAAGACTACTCGTTAAAGCATATTCTCTTATAAATTAATTTTAATTCACATTTTTACATAAATTGGTTTGAATTTTTTGCCTTTTCTTTTATCTTTATAATTTCAAGAAAAACGAGAAAATTATTTTATCCAAATATATTTAGTTAATAAAAAATTCATTTAGGTTAATAGATGGGTTTATGATAGAAGACTAAGTTATAGGTGTATGTTTTGTCTAATGATTATTTTCGAGTACTAAAATAAGTTTTGAGTTTCGGGACAGAGTGAACTTTGTCAATAAAAGCAATCAATTCTTTGTATTTCCCGACAACTTCCGGCTCGAGTGAACGGACCATTTCAAAAAATTCAGCCAATACAAAATCAACATAAGTTAAGCCAGATTTAACGAAAAATCCCGATCCAGACTCTGCCAACAATTTGACAAAGAGTGGAAAGACTCGTTCCGCTGCAGGCAAAAATACATCCTTTCGAAGTTTATCCTAAAAAATAAAGATAATTTTGACAAAATATAGGGGGAGTATCTAACTAACCACATCCCCTTCTCTAAATCCTGCTTTTGCGTATATGTATGGTGCCGTTTCGTTGTAAACATCCTTATAAAAATCAAAAATTTCGATTATTTTAGCCTTTTCCCATTCATCCTTTCCAGCCAAACCTTTAAATGGAGGAGAATAAAAGATTAAAATTTAAATATTTTCACCAAATTTATTAGACAAATAAAGAAGGATTGCGCCGCTCTGGCTTAACTGCTTTCCGTCAACTTCTAACACAGGAACTTTTCCGTAGAAAAATTCTTAAAAAAGAGAAATTAATTTTAAATTTTTTGATTATTTTCCCTTCTTAATGTAATTTTACGATTTATGAGAAAACACCGTCATTTATTGCCCTTTTACTTACTATTTTTCTCGGCTGGCCATTTTTCATGGGTAAAACGTATATCATCAAACTTTTCACCAGCATAATGAAAACTAAAAATAGAAAAGGGTAACTAGGGATACTGAAATTTTTTACCAAATTCTTATGGCTTCACCCAAGCCTTTTACATCAAAATAATAAAGTTTATATTGAACCATTTTTAAGAAATAAAGGTTGTCAAGTAATGTTGTTTGAAGAAAATGGGGTGTTTCTGCCTTTAGAATACTTATTTAAATAAGAGCGCGGAATTGGTACTTTCGCGTTTTTAATTGGATTGGAATGGGCGGAGTAAATGTTTTACTTAATAAACAAGTGTTTTTGAAAAGTGATAAAAACGTAAAAATGGAAGACTACAAAATGTGACTAATTAGAGAATAATTTTATTTGAAAGGGAAAGGTAGATTGATGGAAACTACAACAAATAAACTACAAAAAAATTATTTTCGCCAAATTTATCAGTCAAAGACAAATATTTATTTATGACAATATACATATTACATACAATATATTACACAATACATTTTATTGTATCACAATATACATTTCACAATATCTTCCTTTTATATTCTCATCATTTAGCCTTCATCTTTCCTTCCATCTCAATCTTCTTCACAGCCTTTTTGCCCTCATTGAGTGCATGAAGACAAAGCTCGCCACGCAAAACCATTTTCGTTGCACTTTGCATATCTCGAAGAGACAGAGTTGGTTTCTTACTGATGAGGGAGAGTCCACCAGCCTCAGAAGCAATGCGGTCGAAGAAATCCATACAATAACTGTAAAAAAAGAAATTTTAGTGACCAAGATTTGAAAAATGTTTAGTATTGGATTTGGAGTCCCAGATATCCGAAGATTTCCCGAGAACCCCAATTTTGTGTATATTAAAGTTATTGCCTGTTCATAACATCCATTCCACGCTTCGAAATACGCATTTCACCTTTATGAACATCCTTCAGCACGCGGTAGATGTGCACTCTGAAAAGATAAAATTTTATTTACAAGTTTGTGTTTAACAAGAAAAACTAACTTGAATGTGCGCTTTGGCTTGCGCTTTCTCAATTTCGCACTTCCTCCGCTGCTAACAGAACGACGACGTCCACTTTTTGCCTTCTTTGACGAAGTTGGTGCCTTTTGCCTCTTTGCGATCGTCTTGCGAGCTGGGCTTTGAGCTTTTGCCTGGACTGATTGACCACGAACAGTTTCACCGTCTCCTCCACCTTTGTTGTTGCTTGCCGATCCTTTCTTTTCCTTGGACTTCTTGTTGTCGTCCTTGTTGTTCTGACCCATCGTTGAGAAGAAGATTTTAGCCGTTGTGTTGTTTGTTTGGGGGAATAAGAAGATTGAGGTTATCTAACAAATTTTATGTTTGCTTTTATAGTATTAAATTTTAATGAACGACGTGGATTGGCACTAAAAAGACCTGAATATTCTACACTAATTGGCACCAAAACGGAGTATCGATGAATCGGCCACTTGAGTATATCTTTTCAGTGCATGTGAGACTGTGTCTATTTGACACTAATTTTTCTTTTTAATCATCAATTTTTGTTAATCTGATGAAAAGTCTATAATCTCTTAAAAATTTTCAGATTTGTTAAAATTATTTTTTACTTAATTCTACAGCCACGAATCTGTTTTCATTGCAGAATATGCCGATTTTCGGCGACTCTTCCCCTTATGATGAAATTGTTGAGAAGGTGACCGCTGATACTTTGACGAGTGAAAATTGGGAATTAATGATGTATGTAAAGTTTTTTCTAGATTATTAATAAGTATTTTATAAAACTATTAAGTCTGTTTTGGGATTAGAACTAATCTGTTAAACAAAAATTTTTTCTTTGCTATTTTAACCTCATACTGTTTCCTCACAAAAATGCCGATTTTCGGCGATTGTGGTATTTTTAGGTGCACTTTTAGTATTTTTTTATTTTCAGCAATCTCAAAAAGGAGATTTAATACTTACGATTAAATTTTTAGTTTTTACCCTCCGTGTATTCTGCTACCCTTTAATCTACGTTTAATGATTCGTGATTTTTTAATGTTTGGAGGGTTTTATGTATTTTAAATTTACATTTCTCCTCTAATTTTCTTCAAATTTTAGAGATATTTGTGATCGTGTAAATGCTGATGGAATTAAGGGATGTAAACAAGCTCTTCTTTCTGTCAAAAAGCGTCTCAATCATCGAGATCCTCATGTTGTTTTGTTTGCACTTTCTCTTTTGGATTGTCTTTGGAGTAATTGTGGACAGAAATTTAGACGAGAAGTTTCTTCAAAAGAATTTATTGGAGAATTGAACTACAAATGCACAAATGTAGGAAGACAAAAAGAACTAATTACAAGGGCAAAAGTCAAACGGAATTCTTATAGTCCATATAAAGAAGAAGTACATAAAGAGTTTGTTGTGTAATTTCCGTTTAAACTTCTCGAATTTACTCAGTTTTCTGCTTTAAATAATTGTTGTTATGTCAAATAACGTAATATAAGTCCCCGTTCTTGGTAGCTCTTCTTGCCTCGAGAGTGAAAATTTAAAAAATTTTCTGTTTACTCTTATATAGGTTTGGTTTTTCGAGTCGGGCCGACATTCGAGTCATTTTTTTGGGTCTTATTTTTATCGGGCCGGTCCGACCGAGTCTTTTTCGGGCCAAAATCTGATGCCCGACTCGATCTTTCGGAACGGACCTGGCCCCCAACCCTACTTCCATGTCTTATGGGCCTCTTTGAATTTTGTTATTTTGAATATTTTTCTAGCAAATTTAAGGGTTAGGTTAATTTTTTTTTGTCTAATATTTCTAATTTTATAAAATTTCAGAGTAACCGAGTTGTGGCCGAAAAGGCGCGGATTCTGGTCAAAAAATGGGTTGAAAATGAGTGTAGTAAGGACAGTTCACTTTCAATGATTGAAAGTCTTTATAAAGATCTTTTGGAACAAGATAAGAATTTTTAAATATTTAAATAATTTAAATTTATTTTTTAGGCCTTAGTTTTGATAATGATCCAACTTTAACTAAGAAAGCGCCAATAATTAGTAATGATCCAAATGTTGTGAGTAGTGATCAGGAACAGGCAGATATTGCTAGAGGTTGATTTTTGTATTGAATAAACTCGAAAAATTTTTTGTTAACGAAAATACGGGACACGCCCAAAACGGCGCGCGACCATAACGGCGCAAAGCCATAACTTGCTCCGAGATTTCAGAATCTTACCAAATTTAGTATCAATCGATTCCTCTCATCGAGCTAGGGAGATTGGTCCAAAATTGGCCTAAATGCCTTTAATTTTGGAATATTTTTTAAAATTTGCTGCAATTTTTAGTTATTGTTACTTCCACGGCCCTTCTTTCTCTTAAAATTTATTCTTTTTAGCAATTGCTTTGTCTCTTCAAGAAAGTGGAGGTAATAAACAACAAAATTCAACAAAAGCAAATAATTCTTATCCGGCACTTTCTTCTTCTGATTTTAAGTATAATTAATAAAATAATTAAATTTTATTTTCTTTTTTTAAAGTTCAAATGTCAACTTTCCAAATTCGTCTGGACATCAACCACCTTCAGTTGCCGCTAAACAAGCCCGTGCTCTTTACGATTTTGAAGCGGCTGAAGATAATGAAATTAGTTTTACTACTGGGGAGGTGATTACTGTTTGTGATGATAGGTTGCTTTTAATTTTTTGATATCTTAAATTGTTGTGAGAATTTGAAATTATTGTCGATGTTTTTTGGGTTGGCCTGTTTTCTTCAATTTTATTTTCCTTTGAACGTTACTCTAGCTTGATCGGGACAACTGGGGGTTTCAGAAATTCGAAGAGTCAGAAATTCGAAGAACTAGCTCGAATGTCTAAACTTGAGAATTGAAGACTCGTTTCTGTCTAGCACTAGATTCCTTTTCTGCTTGACAAAGTAAAAAAAAGATGAATAATTTTTGCATTCTTTTTTTACCTTTGCACTTACACAATTAATTATTTTTTCCTATTTTTTAGTGATCAAAATTGGTGGAGAGGTGTAAATTGTCGAGGTGTTAATGGCCTTTTCCCAGCTAGTTTTGTAACTACAGATTTAACTAAAGAACAACCAAATTTGCCAGTACCAAAAGATTCAAACGAAAATATTGAGGAATTAAATACTTCTACGGCAACAATGAAAGTCCAAATTGATGAAAATATTTTGCTTAAATGTATTGAATTAATTGAGGATTTGGATCCGTCGTTAGATGCTTCGTCTGATCCTCCTGAACTTGCTCTTCTTGAAAATAAAGCGATGGCTCAAGCACCTTTAATTGACCAAAAACTTATGAAAATTGATAAGGTTCTGTTTTTTATTTTTTAAATTAAGGGGGGTTTTCTTTTCTTCCCTCATTTTTCTTTAAAAATTACACATAGTTAACTAAAGAGACTATAAAATATTTATCCCGTAACTCCACTTAATCATTTGTATTTTTTCTAAAAAACGGGGAAAATCGGATATCGAAAAAATATTTAAATAAATCTCTAAATTCTTGTAATTCTAAATTAATTTCTAATTTTAAATAAGTGAGTAAGAAATGAAAAGAAAATTGAGGCAATTTTAAAATAAGAAAAAAGAGCAACAATTTTTAAGGAAATATAAAATATTTATGTGTACTTTTTAGTAAAATAATTATTTGGGGGAAAGTTTTGTTGGAAATTTTTTATAGAGCTTTTGTTTAATTTAACTTTAAAATAAAAAGTATTTATTTTTGACTTTATTTTTAGAATTTATTTTTAAGTCCAGACTTTTATTAGAAAATGTTATGAATAAAAATTGGCGTTAATTTTGAGAAAGAGAGTATAAATAATTTAATTATTCCAAAAATATTTTTATTTTCCCTTATTTTTTTATTTTTAGCAATTAAATTCTTTGGCAGCAGTTGATTTGGCTATTCGAGATGTTTTGGGTGCATATGATAATGCTGTTCAGCAAGTTGTTGGAGGGACTTCTTCTTCTTCCTCTTCAACAATTCCAAATAACATTCAACAGCCAATAATTACTTCAAATCAATTAATTAATCAACAACAAATTCAAATGTTGCCAACTTCAGCATCAATTCCAGTTGTTAGTCAACATCACCAACAACAACAAATATCTCAACATTGGCAGCAAATGTGAGGGGAAAAGAAGAAAATATAAATATATTTAATAAATTAATTATAAATAATTCTTTATAAAAAAGCATTTCCTCTTAAAAAAATTTTTAAATATACATAATACAGTCGACTCTAAATATACATATGTACCTAATTATCTTAAATGTATCAAATATCTTGTTCAACTAACAAGTTTTAAATTTTTTATTAAATTTCGAAAGCAAAATGGGTGTGGGGAAACTAGCCATTAAAGATAAACTACAATTGACATGAACCTTTATTTATTTATTTTCGAGGTTGTAGTATATCGAGAGTGAATGTGTTTATTAGAAATTGTCTGCCTTGAGAAAATGCAAATATTATGGTGTTGACTAGGGATGGTCGAAACAGGCTAAAGTCAGTCACTCGGTTTTTAGGAGTTTCTATTAGTTGATAAATTTTGAATCAAATACTGGTTCTATTACGGAAGAATTTTCTGTTAAATTTTCTATTAAATCTTTTGCTTTAAAAATCCTGTAGGCCCCCCTCTTTTCAGTTACTATTTAGTTTTTATGTTTACGTTTTAAAATTTGCCAATTTTATTAAAAGCGTTTAAATTATGAATATTTGTACGAAAAAAACGTAAATTTGTATTTAATAATGAAAATATTTAAGTCAAAAATTGTCATCATTTTATGATGTTTATTTTATTTATTCTCCACAATAATTTACATTTTTTATATTCCCCCTTTTATCCCCCCAACTCCTCTTCATTTAAGAAAGTAATGAATTTTGAGGCCAATGAAGGAATAAAGTATATAGGCAACACATTCCCCCCCCCCCCCCCCCCTCTTCTCTTTCTTTTTTCATCATTTCCTCTTTTTTTATTTCAAGTCTCGAGTTTCGGCAGCGCAAATAAAAAAGCCTTTATAGGCGCGAAAAGCCAATTCTTTAAATTTTCATTTTATCCATAGAGGACAATATTTTTATTCACAATCGTCCGCTATAGTTTGAGATTTGTCTCAGACTATAGCTTCGTGAGAATAAAGAAACTTTTTTAAGCAAATATTTTTTTAATTTCACAAAATTTTAATTTAAACTTCTTTTCTAAAGGGTCAGTGCAGAAAATTGCTCTTTATTTTGTAGAGGGGACTACGTCTTCGGGAACTATTTATTCAAAACTAGAAGGCGGGGATGATGAGAAAAAAGGATGGGTCGGGTTTTCAAATTGTTCTTTGGATCGAGTTTAGGATCCTGATTTTGGGTAATCCTGCCCATCCCTACTAGAGATCATCCCTGCTATCAATTTTTAAATATGGAAGAAACATCCCTGCTAGATACACCCTCATTTTTTTAACTTTAATATGCCTCCTATTTAAGATTTAAATTGTATCTCATTATAGGATACAATATTTCAATCTCGAGGGTGTATCTTTTAGTGAGGGAGGGTTTATTGCTAAATAAAAATGATTAAAAATTTCAATATTTTTTATAAGAACCAGAAAACGTAATTTTACGTAATCGTTCTTTCCTATTTACATTTCTAGCAAAAAAAATTATTTTCATATTCATTTTCTTGTAAAAGCTTCTTGCGCTTTTCTATTAAGGGTCAATTAATTAATTGTTTTATTGTTATTTTGGAAAAGGACTTACTTAAACGTCATCTCTCCTTCTCTTCTCTCCTTTCTCATTTTGTAAATTAACATTCCTTTTGTAAAATGCAAAAAGAAAGCTTTTGTTTTCATTTTGACGTGACAATTGTTTTTTAATTTCTTCTTTATCACCCACACATTTTTACTATTTTTTAAAGAAAAGGAGATGGACACTAATTTTTGGAATTGAAAAAAATTAACAAAAAAAATTTTTTTACTTGGAAAGAAAATACAATTTTATTTTATAAAGGTTCCGCCTTTCATTTAAAAATCTTTCAATTTAATTCTCTTTTTGTGTTTGTTAATTATAAAAGCAATTATTTAAATGAAAATGCTTAAAAATAAAATTTAGTAGAAATTGTCAGAATTTTTGTTTTTAAATTTATTCCTCAATAATTATCTGATAATTATTCTAGGAATTTATTGTATAAAAGGGTAGGGAATATTTAAATTGGTTATCTTTAATTATCTCCTTCCCTTCACTTAAAGATAAAGTTTTTGCCCTCATATTATTTACCCACTACTCAGTTATTCATTTTTAGCCCTATAGATGTACCTTGTAAATAATGAGGGCCGGGATTATATTCATTAATCGTTTTTTTGTTTTACAATTAATGATGGTCGCCTGCTGATTTAAAAAATTTGGGGTTATCCGGAAATTATTCTCAAGACTATTTCCGTACTAGACATCTAAATTTATATGTATTGGACATGCCTCCCAATCCCCATACCCTAAGGGGTTGGGATTTTTCCGTTTCATTAAAACCTCGCAATATAAGTAAATGTTAATTATAATTCTTTAACAAATCCTCTTGACATAATTAAAATAATTTACATAATTTAAAGATTTAAGAAAAAAGATGAGACAATTATTTAAAATTCTTTTCCCTTTCCCCCCTCACTACATTTACAGTACACAAACATTACTAACAGCTTTGGCATTACATTCTCTTTTGTTTATTGTAGCAGCAGCACTTCCACCTCACAAAGGAATTTATGATTCTAAAGAATTAACTTCTTCAGAAATGCAAAGTAAGAGAAGTAGTTCACTTTATAATTATCCCCACATATTAGAACGTATCTTTTTTATTTAGTAGCTTCTCGAAATAACTTGCACTATTCAGATAAAGGTTCCCCAATCCCTGCTGAAAACTTATTTAATAACCATAAAACTAAGTAGAATCAAAAATATTTTTAACCTTTGGCTGCCAAGTTCAAAAATGGCTGGCAGCCTCCAAGATCTTTCTTAAATTATTTAAGAATGATGGGGAAAATTTTGTGAATATCAACAACCAGTGTATATAGTAGTGGGGGTGTTGGGTAATTTAAAGCCAGCCATTTTTTGTGAATTTCCAATATTTCTATCAAAAAAATCTTTAAAAGGTGGAAAACGAATGTCTCCCTTCATTTCATATCAACCTTGGTCTTATATGAAAAGAGCGCCAACAGCTCCAATTATTCGATTCGGAAAGCGTTCAAGTTGGGAAGAATTAATTGAAAGATTAAATGAAGAAAATGAAGATTTCCAACAACAACAAAAACGTTCACCTAACAGCGCACCTTTAATTCGTTTTGGAAGACGTTTAAATAATGCTCCCTTAATTCGATTTGGAAGAAGTTGGAAAGGAAATGAAGAAAAAGAATTTAATGAATAAATTAAAGTAAAGGAAGATTTTAAAAGAAAAGAAAAATATTTTTATATCTAAATTTTTTGAATTTATATAAATATATATTACTGTTCATCTATAAAAAAGGATTTTGCAAAAAAAGATTCTGAGAAGGTAATAGAAAATAGAAGATATATCAGACATTTATTTAAAGGGTAATTTGAACTCAGATTAACAGTTTACTGCGAGTCTACATTAATGTTTTTTTGCTTTATTTAAACAATTAATATACTTTATCACCTTTAAAAAATAACACAGAATTTCCATTAAAACAAATTTAAAATCAAAAGCAAATTAAGCCTATGGATAGAAATTTTTTAGAGTTAATTGTTGAAATATTTTGTCGTCATCCTTTTATTTTTACAATTTCATGTAGATAAAGGGCTTTTCTGATATTTGATATAAAACTGAAATATTGTGATTTCCAAAATATGAGGGGAAAACTATGTATAGGCTGATTTACAGAAAATCACAGAAGAACAATCATTTAATATATTCTTTATTTAAAGTTCTCCCAATAACTAATCTTCTAACTTCCGAAGTCCCAGCCCCAATTTCATACAATTTTGCATCTCTGAGTAATCTCCCAGTTGAATAATCATTAATATATCCATTACCCCCCAAAACTTGAATTGCATCCAAACATGTTTGGGTTGCATTTTCTGCCAAATATAAAATTACCTAAAAAATAATTTTTAAAAAATCTAAACAAGAATTTTTAATAAGAGGAATGTAACAATTCTAAGAAGTAAAAGTTAAAGAAGTGCACCCCAGATATTGTAAAGCCGAGTAACACTGTTATAACTTCGTTCAACAGTAGAGAATTAAATGATCTAATACTCTAATTTAAACAAAGTTACGGTCATGTAATATATTGGATTACTCCCCAATCTAGTGAAGAGTATTTTGAATTGAACTATAGATTTCCTACACAATTATAATAGAACAGTTCTAAGATTAAAAACAGGAAAGGATCCAACATAAAAAAATAAAAAGCGGATTTAGATAAAAGAAAACTCTTTAACACCCTCTATTAAGAAATAAAATTAAATAAATTTTCTTTTCCCAAAATAAAAATTACCCCAGCAGAGTCCTTAGCCGTCAATGTTTTATCAGTAGCATTTCTGGCTATTGTATATAAATAAGCTCGACAAGCATTTAATCTAACATACATATCTGCCAATTTACCTTGCATTAACTTTAAAATAAAATAAATTGTGATGATGCACAGACTCAAATGACTTTAATTTTAATTTAAATAAATAAATGACATTTTATCCCATTTATGTTCCTATAAAAGAAAATTCTCTCTCCCCAAATTCGTTCATTCGATTCATTTTGTTATTTTCTCTTGTTGTGGCTATTCCCCCCTTTTATTATTTATTTAATTTATTGGTTTGAATTGTATTGCCTCTTCGAAATAAATATTTATTTGAATTGGCTTGGACTTTAATTTGAGGAAGAGTATTTAAAAAGAAGTATAAAGAGAAAAGATTTTTATTTCTCACGTGGCGCTCCTGTGGACGAAAAATTTTCTTAAATTTTTCAGCGGTCTCGAGATTGATTGTGAATTTTGTGATTTGAAGGCTCTAGGCGAGCAAAAACAAATTTTTTATTTTTTGAATTTAAAGCTCTAGGCGAGCATATGCAGCTCTAGGCGAGCTTCGACTCAAAAATTTTTTAATTTTAGAAAGTTTTGTGAAAAACTTTAATTTATTTTCCTCATCAAAAACCCTAGGCGGGTAAAAATCAATTTTTTTCTTCTCTTAAAAAAAAAATCTGCAAAAGACCCTAGGTGGGTTTAAAAAGAAACAAACAAGAAAACGAAATTTTTTATTTTAGTTGACCTTGGCAGTCAATCGATTTCATTGCTGCAAACAAATTGACTCAACAAAAGACCCTAGGTGGGCACAACTTTAGAAACTTTGAATTGAATTTTTTGTGACTCATCAAAAGCTCTAGGTGAGCGTAAACAAAGTTAATAGAAAATTAATGATAACCCGTTCCCCTGTTTTAACAAGAAATAGGGCAAAGGATAAAGCTATAGAACGAGAAGCTTCTGAAAATCAAACTTCTAATATTCAAAATTTAGATATGGACGATGTTCTGGATGTTGAAAGTGAAATGGGAGAAAATGTTCTGTCGTCTTTGACACCAGAGGAAGAACAGCAATTGTTGAACGGTAGTAATAATAAAAATAATAATCAAAAAATTGGGGAGGAAAATGTTCCGAAAACGATTCAAACTCAAACCTCGCCAGCACAGTTACCACAGAATATTTGTTTTCCTTTCCAAATTCCGAACATGCCTGTTATGACACAGCAGTTCCCAAATCAGCAAATGTATGCACAATTTCCAAATTGTCAAATGCCTATGTTAATACCCATGTATCCCCCACAGTTCTTGCAGTACTCACAGATGCCGGCGAATAATCCACAAAATTTTCCGCCTCAAATGAACATTAACCCGCAAGCTCAACCCCAACAGAATTTCCAACAGCCAGTTACACAAGTGGCGCAGCCACCAATCAATAGTGAAAACAGTCAAAGACCCACAACAGATTTTGCTGGGTTCATGCACAGTTTTGATAGGATGTCTTTGTCGTGGGCATTAGACAAGATTCCAGATTTGAAAGGTCCTGAAGGTGTCGATCAAATTAAGACATTCTTCAAAAAATTTGACTCTGCTACTGAAGGGATATCAGATGTTGTGCGATTAAAGGCTTTAGAGTCTAAAATCAGCGGAAGAGCGGAAAGAGCTTTTAACACCGCGTTAGGAAATTCCCCATTTATTTATTCATCGGTTCGACGCGAAATGCTTCGTATTCTCGAAACGACAGACACAAAAGAAATTTGTGCGTTCGATGAACTGATGTCTGGAGTTAAGAGGCGAGAGAATGAAAATATTGATTCACTTGCTAATAGAATTGCATCATTGGTCAAAAGAGCTTACCCCGTGATGACAAATAATTTATTAGATGAGTATTCAATAAAGCATTTGATAAGAAGCATTGGTGACTCAAACCTTGCACTTAATCTTGAAATAGCTCGACAAGACGGAATGAGTTTTGACAGCTTCGTTTCTTTGGCCGCTAGAGCTGAATCGACGCAAAAAGCAACTCGGCATATAAATTTCCAATCTAAGCCCGCTGTCCAGCAATTCTCACAACGTAATACTTTTACCCCTCGAAACGAAATTACCTGCTTTAACTGTGGAAAACCAGGTCACCTCTCACGCGATTGCTTCTCTAATCGAAATAAACAAAATATGGCGAAAGACAACGTGGCAACTGCTACTGAAGCCAATAGAACATTTCTGAATACCAAAAATAATATTAATGAGCTATCTAGAAACACAGCAGTTTGGCAAGGAAATGGTCAAACCAGAGCACTCCCGCCATCAGGCAATCAACTTAAAAATGGTTGCATAACTATCCATGACGAAATTCCAGAAAATCACGTCAACTCTTGCGGGATAAACATTTTGGAAATTAAAGAAGAACTTAAGAAAATTCCCGAACAAGAAGCTAAAGCGGAGATAATAAAGAACTCCATAGGTCCGGTAATGTCAATCAAAGTTAGTGTAAAAGATTTACCTGCAAAAGGAATGCTCGATGGAGGAGCTCAAATTTCGTTAATAAGTTCAAGTTTTCTTTTAAAAATGCTTAAAGACAAGGGAATTGAATTAAAGAACATCGGATTTTCAAGAGCAAAAACTAAAATTTCTGATGTTAACGGACAAAAGCTAGAATGCCATGGAATAGTTGAGTTGGAAATAAAACGTGAAAACCAAGAAGAGATCAAAACTTGTTTTCACATAACGGATGCCCCTTTTGGCTATGACTTACTTTTCGGCACAAATTCACTAGGCAAATTAGGATTTAAATTATTAGACGTTCCTAATAATGATTTAATCGATTTTGGAAGTGAAGGTTTAGACCAAAACAACGATGCAGAAAAAGTCATTTATGAGACACGGATTCAAACATTAAGCGTTGAATTTGAGGATGTAGGATCCGATGGAATAGAACTAAACGTCTTTGAAGATAAAGCTGGAAATGATAAAAAGGAAGAGAACGAAGAGTTGAATAAAATTAAAGAGAAGAAATTTGAAGAAAATCTAAAAGAAGATGAAAAGAAAGTTGAATTTGAAGGAAAAAGAAGTGTTTGTGGAAAAGAATTGGCTAAGGCTGCCAAGAAAAATTGTCGAATATTGAACGGCAACTTTCTTCGAATTAATATGGAGCAAAAACGAAAATTTGATAGGAAAAGGTCAATTTTTGTAGGAAATCTTCCTTATAAAACAATAAACGAATCAGTTAGAGCATATTTTTCGAAATGTGGAAAAATTACCGGCGTTCGTTTACTTCGAAATAAACAAACCGGGCTTTGCAAAGGAGTAGGTTACATCGAATTTATTGATCCAGCTTCGATTAAAAGGGCATTTGAATTAAATGAATTGACTTTTGAAGGAAGAAAATTGAGAATTTCCAGAATGTATGAAAAGAAAAAGCTGGCAAAGATGAGAGACAAAAATCAGAATTTAAAATTGAAACATTCTAGATTGGAAAAAGGAATTGAAAAATGTTTGAACCGAAGAGGAGGATTTAAAGAAAAAAAGGTTCTTGAAACAATTCCGAGGACGGAATTATCTAAATACGAGGAGGGGAGAGGTGGTAAGGTTGAGAGCCGATTAATAGGCAAACGTTCGAAAATGAACGAAATTGAAAAATTGAAGGCAACCCAAATGCCAATTCATGAACTAGGCGTTCCGAACGTCAAAGCGAAAATGGTCGTTCCGAGAAATGAAAGAAGTGGAAGGAACTCAATGAGAAATGATTCAAGGAGGAGCGGTCTAGGCGACCAAACCTCTAGAAGTCGTTGGATGGGCACTGAAAATTGGAGGGAGCGCGATCTAGGCGATCAACCCCCTAGAAGCCGTTGGAGTGGAAATGAAATTCGAAGGGAGCGTGATCTAGGCGATCAAACCCCTAGAAGCCGTTGGAATGGAAATGAAAATCGAAGGGGGCGAGGTCTAGGCGACCGAACCCCTAGGCGCTCTGTTTTCGAGAGAATTAGAGAGACCGTCTATGAACCACCCCCTTTCGCAGCCGAATACTAAGCCGAGGGACTCGTCTTCTTAGAGGGAGGAGATGTGATGATGCACAGACTCAAATGACTTTAATTTTAATTTAAATAAATAAATGACATTTTATCCCATTTATGTTCCTATAAAAGAAAATTCTCTCTCCCCAAATTCGTTCATTCGATTCATTTTGTTATTTTCTCTTGTTGTGGCTATTCCCCCCTTTTATTATTTATTTAATTTATTGGTTTGAATTGTATTGCCTCTTCGAAATAAATATTTATTTGAATTGGCTTGGACTTTAATTTGAGGAAGAGTATTTAAAAAGAAGTATAAAGAGAAAGTCATTTTTATTTCTCACGAAATTTTAAACAATTTTATTTTTTACTTGAAAAGTCCCAATAGGACTGCTAAAAGCCATTCTAGAATGTGCATATTCGAAAGCAACATCACAAGCAGATTGCATTAATCTACAAAAAAGAAAAGAGTAAAATTGTTTATTTTTTGTAATCTTTACCCCAAAGGTCCAGCTGATAAAACTAAACGTTCAGAATCTAAACCAGACATTAATACATAAACACCTTTATCTTCAATTCCAAGAACATTTTCTACTGAAAAAATTTAAAAGATTACAAATATTTTAAAATCAATAAATAAAGAAATTTTTGAAGTGAAGATGAGATATTTGTTTTGGGAAATATTCTAATATAAATTAGAAAATAATTTTCTAAGAAATTTGATTATGAGAAAAAATAAAGAATAACCACCCCCCCCCCATTTTATTCATAAAAATTTAAAAATTAACTCACTAGGTACTTCACAATTATCAAAAATTAATTCACAAGTATTAGATCCCCGCATTCCAAGTTTATCGAGTTTTTTACCCGTAGAAAAACCAGGAAAATCTCTTTGGATAATAAAAGCACTAATGCCGTGTTGATGTTTTTCTGGGTTTGTCTAAAATAAAAAATAATATTTTAAATTTATGTAAAACAATAATTTAAAAAGAAATTATCGGGGCTAAAAAACCAGGAAAAAATCTTATAATAAAGTTCTAATGTAAAAACAAAAATATAATGTTTAATCGAATTATTCTCTAATTATGTCCCTTTTATTTTTAATTATGCACGAAAATAGGTAAAACTGGGAGAACTTTTTAAAGGTATTAAAAGGTATCTGAATTTTTATAAAAACACAGATAATGGAATTAATCAAAAAGCTTTTAACAAAATGACAAAATATGTCAATTTAATAAAAAAAAAGTATGGTAAAATAATTTATTAAATTTATTATTTCCGAAAATGTCTTTAAAAAGAGAAAGTAAATATAATTTAAAAAGTAAAATGTTATAAAAAATAATCATAAGACAGAGAGAATCGAAGCTCTATAGGAATATGAAAAAGCTAAAAACACTACCCCTACACCACAACATCTAGTCATGCTAAAACTAATTAAACATAACGGACTTTTTAAATATAAAAACACCCTCAATTAGACTATAAAAAATAAATTTAAAAAATCCCCTTTCCCCCACCTTAGCATAAACAACCAAAACATCAGCATCAGGCCCATTAGTAATCCACATTTTTGACCCATTTAACAAATAATATTTTCCATCGCCAGTTTTGCGTGCAGTTAATTTCTAAAACTTTAAAAAATATTTTTAAAAATAAATTTATTTTTTAAAATTAAAAAAACCATAGAAACTATATCAGAACCAGCACCATGTTCACTCATTGCCAAAGCCCCAATCCATTCGCCAGAACACAAAGGAGGTAAATATTTAGACTTTTGTTCATTAGAACCATGTCTACGAATTTGATTGACACATAAATTAGAGTGGGCACCATAACTTAAAGCTATTGCTCCACAGGCACGGGAAAGCTCCTTAAAATTGCAAAAAAAAATAAAATTTATTTTGGAAATAAATTTGGAAGAGTGTTACATTTGCGGATATAAAATTTTAAAAACTATTGAAGAGACAACCTGTTTTGAAGCCTCACTCCCCTCCCCATTGACTGCTTCCCTGGTTCAGGCAAATTTCCAATTTAGGGCTGCCGACCCAGTTCAGTAGATCGAACCAGGCATCGAATTTTGGCCCAAAAAAGACTCAAACGGCCCGGTTCGATAAAAATGAGGCTCGAAAAAATGACTCGAACGTCGGCCCGGTTCGAAAACGCTAAACCTATTTCCAATTAAAAAATATTAAAAACAAACCTCCATAACAATAACGTGCTCCATATAACCCAAATCAGAACCTCCATATTCCGTTGGAACAGTAATTCCCAAAAGTCCGTTCTGTCCCAAAATATTCCAAAAATCCCTCAATTTGTCCCATCCATTCATTTTATCAATTTCACTAGCAAAAGGTGCCAATTCTTTTTGAGAAATTTTTGAGACAGTTTCCCTCAACTAAAAAAATTAAAAAATAAAACAAATAAAAACAAACTTGTCTCTGTTCTTCACTTAAACCAAAAACTTGGTCATTTACTGGATAATAAGACATTAATCTTGAACAACATTTTTTGTTTTTAGTTTTAAATAAATTAAATAAAAAAGATTTACATAACATAAATAATCTGAAAAAATAAATAAATTTGTTTTTTTACTATTTGTGAAAAATATTCTTAAAGTCAGACTCAAATGAAGGAAAATAAATGGAGGAGATAACGTAAAATGAAGAGAATAAAGATAGAAGTATACATTTTTGGCAACGGAGTGGGCCAAGCGCAGCCAGCTCTGGACACCTACTATTTTTTAGCCTTGAGTCATCTGAATAAGATCAGACTACAAACTCTAGAAACAAAAACTTAGAAAAGTTGGAACACTATTTAATATCAGAAAGTCAGTAGCAAAATAAAACTTTGAAAGGTTTTAAATTGACCTGTAAATTTTAAACCTCTACTAAACAATGTTTTTTCTCAAAATCTGCATAAAAACACTTTAACAACAAGCCTCCTACTAACATGAATCATTTCTTTTAACTTTATATTCAAATCAGTTGTGAAAACAGCAAACTGTTTTTTATTTAAATAAAATTGACTGTGCTAATTCTCTTCGTTTAATTCTCTGTAAAATATCACACGCCAAAGCAAACCCCTCCTCCCCCTTTTTTATTTTAAATTGCCCAATAAGCGTTTTTAACATTCATTTTAAATATTTTAGAGTTTTGTGATCATAATTTTATTTTTTAATTTTTAGTCAACCCCTTTAAAAATTCAATCAAAATTTCAGAGATACTAAAAAACTTACAAGTTTTCAAAACATGCCTTACACGTCTTTGCCTTTGGTTGTTCTTCTTATACCATTTCTTTGGAGCCTTTCTTTTGCGATCGATAAAGATGATTTTAGCCCAAAATCTGGCAGCAAGGTCTGCGTTGGCAAAATCTGTAATTTAAAATTTAATTAAAAAAAAAGAAGGAATTTTTAATTTTCAGGCGATGACAGCTCTGGTAATGTTTTTATTTCCCAAATAGATAAACCTCTTTAATTTCAGTCTTTCACTACTATGATTGCTGTGGTCAACTTTTGACTGGTAAATTTTATAATAAGATAACCTTCATTCTGTTAAATTTTTAGACTGTTGCTTCAAGCTCCAGACTTGGGTTATCATAGTGATTGCCATCGTGCTGATATGTACACTTGTTTCGATCGTTTTGAGTTTAATCAGGTAATTTCCATTATATGATACCCCCAAAATCTAAATTCAACTTTTCGAGTTTAAGCTCGATTTTAAAATTTAATTTTAAATACCGTATTTTTTGTATTAGAGCCCCATGGGGCTCTATTTTTCAACTATCCTCCAAAGTGGGGCTATATTACAGCGTGGGGCTCTAATAGAGCGTGGGGCTCTATTTTTCAACCTATTATTGAAAATAAGTAATAGGATTTTCAATTATACGGTTAACTATATTTATCAAATCAATTAAAGTTTAATCCCAAATGCAAATTTCAACATTGAGATATTTCCAAATATGATAGTCACTCGTGTACACTAAGGCGCGGTTAAGTGCACTTGAGTTAGATTTAAGGCCGAATTGGAATTTTAATTTGTGGAAGGTTCGAATCCTATCGAGCCTTTGAAGGTTTGATTCTATTTTGCTTCAGTCCGTACGTTTCAATCTCTCGTGTATATATTCCGGTTCAGTCCCAATGGAAGGATATAGATGTGATTAAGAAGGTATTTCCATGTTGACTCCGGGCTCCGGGTGGAAAATCAATGGATAATTTATTTCGTTGATTCGTGTAGATTAAAGGGATATCGAGTGATAAGAGGAATGAGAAGGATATCAAGGTATTAAGCGGGATTTGGGCAGATTATAGTTTTTTGGGCAGATAGAGTAACTCGGAAATGCTCAAACTCGACTTACTCTACTTCTTTCACAGAATAGTCAATTTATAAAATCGGGATTTGCATCTGGATCTGATGCACATCACGATGCCGATCTCGGCCTCGGGATTGGGATTGGCCGGGATCGGGATTTGAAAAACCCGGGATACTCCCGCCCGATCCCGACCAAGATCCCGATCCCGCTTAACTCTAATCAATCTATGCCTCCAGTGACAGAACCTAACTGAAATGAACTGCTTTGATTTGACTGGAAATGATAGAAAAGGCTGTACAGTATTAAAAATAAATTTATTAACTTACAAAGGAGAGTGCCTGAGGTGTCCGTGGGACTTCGGGATGAAATTTGGCAGACAGGTAGATCATACCCTTTCTATTGTAAATCTTGAACCATTTTTGCTTAATGGTACCGTGGACCGAGTTATAAGCCCCCAAAGTTTTGGGATCCCCACATATAAGCAATTTCTATTTAGTTACTAATGTGTTCTTCGGTGGTGCGGTGGTAACGCTCTTGCATATAATTTTTTCCCCTAGGTTCGAGTCCTTATTGGGGAAATTAATTTATTTTAACATAATATTACTTTTTTATTAATTCTGTGATTTTTATCCAAACGTTTTTTGCCAAAAAATTTTTAAGAACTTTTTCAATTTTCTTAACTATTTATTTTTTCCCTTTATTCATTACTAGGGTGTTCCAGAAAAAGCCTTGTGATTATTCCTTCCTTTGAAGAGTTTTTGGCTAAACTACAGTTTCCGTACCAGGCTCAGAATTGAACGATTTATATGTCATTCGAAAGAGCTCGTCGAGCTGAGTCGAATGACACCAAAATTTTTCAGCGGAAAAAATTCTGAGCCGAGTTACAGACCACTAAAGTTCAAAAAACCATAGGGGGGACCAAGCTGTTTTCTGGGGGTGAAAAATTCGAATATGCAAATTATACCTCATTCGAAAGAGCTCATCGAGCTGAGTCGAATGACACCAAAATCAATGAAATCAGAATTGATTTGACAAAGTTATGCTCGTTTGTTTTAGCTCCTTACCTATGTTCTCCGTGGATGTTCTTGCTGCTGCGGAGGAAGCTGGGCATGCCAATCACAGCGATAATTGGCATAGGATTAAGTTACGAGCCCAGACCCAGAGCCCGTAGACTCCCCGCGAGGCGCGTGCCGCAAAACTCCGCGCGAAGCGCGGAGTTTTGCACAAGCGCCTCGCCGACGCCCCATAGGTTTACGTTGTTTGTTTTTTCTGTCATAACTTTGAACAAACTTGACCAATCACGGCGATTTTGGTGTCATTCGACTCGGCTTGAAGAGCTCTTTCAAATGAGCTATTAATTGCATATTCGAATTTTTCACCCCAAAAATCAGCTTGGTCCCCCTTATGGTTTTTCGATTTTCGGGGGCCTGTAACTCGGCTCAGAATTTTTTCCGCTGAATAATTTTGGTGTCGTTCGACTCAGCTCGACGAGCTCTTTCGAATGACATATAAATCGTCCAATTCTGAGCCTGGTACGGAAACTGTAGTTAGGCCGAGTTTTTCAAAAAATTTAAAAAAATTAGATTATTTTTTAAAAATTTTAGAAACAAAATTTTCAAAAACAAAAGAGAAAATTATGTTAAAATAAATTAATTTTCCCAGACAGGATTCGAACTTGGGGGACAAAAACTAAATTCAAGAGCGCTACCACTGCACCACCGAAGATTACACTCGTAAATGAAAAGAAATTGCTTATATATAAAAAAGAAAACTGTTGGGGACCCTAAAACTTTGGGGGCTTATAACTCGGTCCACGGTACCATTAAGCAAAAATGGTGAAAATTTCAGAACTAAAGTAGGGTATGATACCCGTCTGCCAAATTTCATCCCGAAGTCCCACGGACACCTGAGGCACTCTCCTTTGTTAGGTATGTGAAAATTTCATAAAGTGGGGCTTTATTACAGCGTGGGGCTCTAATACAGCGTGGGGCTCTATTTTTCAACTATCCTCCAAAGTGGGGCTTTATTACAGCGTGGGGCTCTAATACAGCGTGGGGCTCTAATACAAAAAATACGGTAGCTATGCCTTTTTTTCATTATCTGACATAGAAACGGAAATAAGGCTATTTTTTGATCATTTAATTTTTTTGGTATTTTTTCGTAAATTTCCAGATGCGTCTGCAAGTGCTGAAGAATAAGACAACGTTAACAACACTTAACATTTCAAATCAATTAAGATATCCCATCACTCGCTTTTACTTAAGGTTCTAGGATAATCTCACAATCTCTACTGGCGTAACAGGAGCCTAGCCGTTTGAAACCCGAAAAGTTCGTGTGCGTATATATCGGGATTGCTATGAGAAAAATATGAGCAGTTACCCGACCCGAATTCGGTAGTACTCCTTCAATAGAGTAACGTATTATCGAAGTAGGCCTCTGAATCAGTAGGGTAACTGTTCTTACGTTGAAATATGTCCGTATGCCGAAAAATCCTACCCATCCGTGAAAAGGACGGCTACGCTCCTGTTTTGCACAGACCGCTTAAAGGGCATTTTTTGCTATTTTCACTTTTTTTTAAAATGCACAATAAAATATCAATTTCTTTTAGCTTTTGAGGATGTTTTTTTTATTTAAGCCCGTTTCTATCAAAATTTAAATTAACTGAAAATATCAAATGTGCAAATTTTTACGATAAGAATTAAAATTAGTATTAGAAATAGTTGTAATCACAAGCAAAATATATACACAGCGAAAAAGGAATAATTAATTAATATAAATGAGAAAAAAGGTCGTTTTAGTTATTTAAAAAATGCCCCCAGCCTTAAAAATAATTTTCTCAAAATTTTTTCGTTAAAAATACAATAAATTGGTGGCTATTTTCTTTTTTAAATTTAATATATAAACTAACATAGGAATTAAAAAAAATAAAAGTAAAAATAAACATGATGATGATACGGCAGCTGATTAAAACGATAAGAGGGGTAGGTGGTAAGAAAGGGAATTTTACACTTAAAAAAGAGAAGACGATGTATATGTGACAGCCACGAGGTGAATAAAAAAAGATGAAATGAGGAACAAAGAAAACCTTTGTACATTTTTTGGCCGAGAAGTGTAAATACTTGACTGTAGTAAATTGAAGGGTGATGATGTTGCATTCACTAGAAAAATTTATTTAATTTAAAATTGTTAGATGGGTAAAGCATGGCTAGTATTACTTATTGGTAGTCCATTTCGAAGTTATTAACTCATAAATTGTAATATAAGATCCTTTAGTTCCGAAACATAAAGAGAAGGGCGAGTGGGCATTGAAATTTTTAGACTCAGAAAAAAAATCTTTCAGTAGGTTTTGAGTTTATTCGGACCAAGGACTTACCCAAAAATCACAACAAATTGTAAGTTTCGGATCATATTCATAAACTCCTTCACATTTCTTTCCACAATATTTGCTTTTATATGTTATCGAATTTGTCAGAGAACTCAATATACAAACATTTTGTCAGATTCACATATTTAAATTCCCCAAAAACAAAAAGTAAAAATACCCATAAAAAGGTAAGCATCATCATCTTCCAATAACACCAAACCCTCCCGAATGTGACGATCCATAGTGCTGTATAGGCGGCAGAGATCTTTGGTGTGATGCCGGAATAACTGCATATTGTGCCATTATTGGAATGTGGTCGCTAGGCACGTGTGGTTGAGGAAAACCAACAAACTTGTTCTGTTGAACCTTAAAATTAAAAATTGCTAGAATTTAGAAAATTAAAAAAACCCAAGTGGAATCAAGTGGGCCAAGAGTACCAAGACGTGCCAAAGACTGTGGTGTTGCGAATATATAATCTATCGTTCCTTTAAAGTCAAGCCTGAGAAAAGATTAAATATAAGTGATGTTGTACAACTTTTTCAATTTAAGCTTACGTATAGTTGGTGTACGGAATCTGTGCACTAGAAAATAAAAAGAAAATTAAATACATTTCAATTCTCCACTTTTTAACTAACGTATCAACAGCGCTATCAAGACGTAGTGAATGAGTAAAATTTCTTTGATCCTTCAAATCTGATGATAAACAACTTAGACAGCTTTCCTCTCTGAAACTTTTCAAATCTGGATGATCTTTTGATATTGCTCCTTTACTTAAAAATTCAACAACACCTAAAAATAATTTTAAAAATTTCTTCAAAAACTTTTCTTTATTTTACCAGAATCAGGTAAAGAATTAAAATCTCCACATATCAAAACAGGAATCTGTTGAACATTTAAACTATATTTTACGGCAACAATATCCAACAATTTTTGCAATTCGTAAACTAACATCATTGACTGGATTAATTTTACATCACAAAATTCTGGATCCCAATGAATATGTGCTGTACAGACAACCAAAAGACTTCCACTAACATTATCATTTGTGTTAGGAGGTACTCGATGGGCTAATTAAAATATTAAAACATTTTATGAACGAATACTTACGTCCATAAAGGTTGTCTTTAATACGCAAAACAGCTGCCAAAGCAATATTGTCACGAGGCATTACTCGATTAAGCATATTTTCATGTGCTTGTGCTTTTTCAATTGCTACTTTTGTAAATTCAATTGGTTGATTTCTTTCCATTTCAAACCTTTAAAATAAAATAGTTTAAAGATAATAAAAAGAATAGGTAAAAAACAACAAAAAAGATTAGGAAACATAAACCGAGAAGTTCGCAAAAAATAGTTTTGAATCCGACAAATGTTTTACCGGGGGAATTTTTCAAGATTTCAAATTAAACTAAAGTAAATTTACAAACTTGTCTTTCTTCCAAAAAATTGCACATCCATCGACATACTTTTTTTCTTCTTCATTCATAGTTTTTGACCGTGATTTTGGGTAAAATACGCCAGAATATCCTTCCACCTCCAACTTTGGTTGAAATAAAGTTTTGAATTGCTCAGTCTCAACTTCCTTTAAATTAACATAATTTTAACTAAAATTTAAATTCTAAAAAAACCTGTAATGTAATTATATCAGCGCTATAATTGAAAATCTCTTTGAGGATGTATTGTTTTCTGCACTCCCAATTAAGTGCCCATTGTGGGCAATAAGAGTAGAGATTTGAAGTGGCATATTTATCACACAAAACATTGTAACAAAGAATGGTAAATGTGGCTAAAATACAATTTTATTTTTAAATTGCTTAAAAAAACTAACCAATTGGTTTGTCCGGATCAATATTTCTAGCTGCAATCCAATTTCGTTCTGGAGGCGGAATAATATTTAAAGCAAGATGATCTAATAAATATTGCAATAATTTCTTGTCTCCATTTAAATCTTGATAAATTTTGCTGATTTCTGGAGAAAGAGGGTTGTGTGCCAATGCTAAAACCAAATATATTGAACAATTAAAAAAAAAACTAACCGAAAGTTTGCAGCCGAAATAACTTTCCCAGTTCATAAGGTAACACTCTTAACTGATTTGAATTTAAATAGAGATGGCAGAGAGAAATCTTAAAAATATTTCTTAAAAGTAAACAATAAGGTTCAGATAATCTGTCACAAAAAAGGAAAGGTGATAAAAGGACACTAACCATGTCTCCAATCTCTTTAGGTAGATTTCGTATTTTGTTGTGCGAAAGGTCCAACAAAGTAAGATTACAAAGTTGTGAAATTCCAGAAGGTATTACTTGAAGTTGATTATTTCCAAGGAAAAGAGCTGTTAAATGGCGCATTTCAAATAAACCAGACGAAATGTTTTTGACACGTCCTAAAAAGTTAAAGAATAAAAAAATATTTTGAATAAAAACCGTGAACTTCAAGTTCTGTCCAACGTGTTTTACATCCTCGAAACCTTTCCTCATCCGTTAAAATCCGATGTATCCTTGAACAACCATTCGAGATCACCTTTAAGCAATAAATTAAAATTTATAACCTCCCAATTAAATTCAGAATAGAATTGTAGCAAAATCTAAAAAATATAACAAAGCTAGTCATAATCAGACCTGCTCATGGATACGGATATAGAAATATCAAAATGCATGCGGATATTCGCCAAAAATCAGTATCCGTGAGCAAGTCTGGTCATTAGTGCTTAATTAGATGCTCGACTAAAATTCGCACTCGTACCTGGTACGAAGTCTGACTACGAGCAAAAATAGAAATGTTACGAAATATGAGACCAAAAATCAAATAAGATACCTTTTTTCCATCAGGGTTCTCAGCACGTGTGAGAGGTGCCCCAGCGTTTCCACCAATTTTGAATTCTGTAGGTAAAAAGGTAGGAGAACCGCTAGGTTGAACGTTTGTTTTTTGTTCATCTTGTTGGCCATTTCTAGGAGGTGTTGACCTCCATAAAGGATGTCCATTTTCTGAAAATATTGAGAGAAATTATTATCACACACAAAAACAAACCATTTAACATTTGTTTTGCTAAATTTACAAAAGAAGTTATTTAATAATTAAATATGAGATTAGAATTTGTTTAGTACAACAAAACTAAAATTAAAGATAAAAAATGTCGTAAAAAATAAGTAAAATGTTGCCAAAAAAAAATTTTACTTTTAGTAGATATTTCGTAATTTAACCTTTCGATTTCGGTAATTAGGGCGGGGGACACTTGTGTACCGCCGTTTGTGTACCGCCGTTTGTGTACGGCCGTTTGTGTACCGCCACTTGTGTACCTGGCCATTTGTGTACCGGCCGTTTGTGTACCGCCGGTTGTGTACCCACCCAAAGGGGGACGTTTGTGTACCCGCATTATTTTTTTAAATTTTTATTGTTTTTTTAAGCATTTTTGCTTTTCTTTTGGGGTTCTCAACTAATTCTGTTAAAATTAGTTGATCGGTCACTCATGCAAGTCCATCCGGACAGTGAACTTTCTCTAGAGGTACGAGAAATGTGAACTAGTAAGAATTTAATTTTTATTTTTTAATTTTAGATTTTATTTTTCAGGTTGGCCTAAACCTTGCTCGTCACGTGTCGGACTTCATCCCACGGCTGCAACGATGGAAAATTTGATAAGGTTTGAAATTTTTATTTTATTTTTTAAGTTTTTATTCTTTAAAATTTTTTAGTTGATTTCCGTCAGTTTCTGACTGGCGATTTTCAAGTGTGCAGTTTCTGAAGCAACGAAGGTGGTGAACTTAGGAGAACAAAAAACGAAAAAAGGCCCTTCTTTGGGCCACAAATTTAATAATTGAAGCTAGACTTTGGTTTTTTTTAATTTTTTGATAAAATTTTTAAAAAATATTTTTTTTATTTTTTTTCACATTTTGATTTTCTCCCGTATCCGGGTAAATTCTGCCGTAGTCCGGAAATTAGGAAAGTTTTTACGTTAGTAACTTAGAGTTTCCCCTACCCTCCATAGCAGCACAAAAAGTGTTTCCAGCGAAGATTCTGTTGGTCAAAACTTTGTTCAGAATCATCCAATCTACTTGATTTTGGTCTTATTCAACTCATCTCGTCGATCCCTTTCGAATGAGCTATCATTTGTACATTAAAAAATTTTTACCCAAAAATGAATTTGACCCCTTTTTTGGATTTTCAGGAGTGTAATTCGTTCCCTGAATTTGGATTGACCCAATATCAAATCAAAATCTCTCGATTATCCCCCTTAATCACTCTAATGCAACTATATCCTCTTTAATCCCGCCTAATCTAAAAAAATAATGCGGGTACACAAACGTCCCCCTTTGGGTGGGTACACAACCGGCGGTACACAAACGGCCGGTACACAAATGGCCAGGTACACAAGTGGCGGTACACAAACGGCCGTACACAAACGGCGGTACACAAATGGCGGTACACATGTGTCCTGTTCCCGGTAATTAAGTTTATTTCAAAATGTCAAATGACAAAACGACACATCGATTTTACTTGTTAAACGTGAAGTTTTGTGCTTGATGTTTCCAATCATGAAATCTGTTATCCCATTAAAGGATTTAGATTGTTGCCAGTAGTTTGAATTTTAGATCTGACTTTTTAGGAATTTATTTTCATAGGACAGTCTCTTAGGGCATTTTTCTCTTGTCTTTGTTTTCGTAACTTTAAATATTTTAATTTAGATTTTCTTATCTGTCTAAACTTTCTACTACGAAATAATGGTTTGTTTAGTAAATTATATGATTAAAATTAAAACTTTTAATTAAGGTTAAAAAGCCAGCAAAAAAGAAGGTTGCCGCTCTTCCCGCGGGAATGAAAAAGGCTGAAGCGAAAAAGCCAGCCAAAGTTTCGCTTTTTGAAAAACGACCAAGAAATTTTGCTATTGGTATTTTATTTAAATTTTTGTTTAATTCCCCTGTTTTATAGGACAAGATATTCAGCCTAAACGTGATCTGACTCGTTTTGTTCGTTGGCCAAAATATGTCCGTCTTCAGCGACAACGTGCTGTTCTTGAGAAACGTTTAAAGATTCCTCCACCAATTAATCAATTCAAATATACTTTGGACAAGCCAAACGGTTTATTTTAACTTTATTACTTTCGAGTATGATAATCTTTATTTTTAGCCGCTCAACTCTTCAAGCTTCTCGATAAATATAGTCCTGAAACACGCCAAGCAAAGAAAGAACGTCTTCGCAATCGCGCACAAGACCGCGTTGAAGGAAAGCAAGAAGTCGTGACAAAACGTCCACCATCTGTTCGATTTGGCATTAAAGATGTTGTTAAGCTAATTGAAAATAAAAAAGCTAGTTTGGTGGCTATTGCTCATGATGTTGATCCAATCGAAATTGTTATTTGTTTGCCAGCTTTGTGTCGCAAGTTTGGTGTTCCTTATGTTTTGGTTAAAGGGAAGGCACGCCTCGGGACTGTTGTACATCGAAAGACTGCTGCGGCTGTTTGTTTATGCGATGTTAATCCGTTAGTTTTAATTGGAAAATATTTTTCTTGGGGTATCAATATTTTTTATTCAAAATAATTTTTAGAGAAGACCGTGGTGCATTAAAGAATCTTGCTGATGTTGCTCTTAACAACTTTAATGAGCGTGGAGATGAAATTAAGAAGAATTGGGGAGGTGGAATTATGTCCCAACGTTCTCAAGCTAGACAGGCTAAAATTGAAAAGGCTCGAATGAAAGAAGTTAGGGCTTAAATATTTGACATTTGGTGAATAAAAAATTGTTTTTGAAATGGTTAAAAAATTGTTTATTTTGTTGATTAAATGTTAAAATGAATGGTTTCTTGTTTTGAACTTTTTTTTTATCTTTAGAGTTTTTTGCTCTTAATGTATTTTACTGAAATTAATGACTTAGGGATTATTGTTAGTCATAAAAAACGTAAAGATTTTTGTATTTTCATTCACGTAGTCGTGATTAAATTTCAGGAGAAAGAATCATTTTTGATCTTCACATTTTTATAAGATACTTCAAGTACTGGATTTAAAGTACTTTTCTGGGCGTGGAATTGCCCAAATGATATCCCTTATTTAAGATAACCTCATTACACAATATTTTTTCAAATCAAAAGTGCTTATAGAGTTAGGGCCGACTTTTTCCGATTTTAAGTTCTTCAAAATTTTTAGTTTCAGAGAAAATTTTTTATTAAAAATAAAATGTTTTCTTGTTCTCTTGCTGGCATTCCAGACACTCAGGAATTATGGGATAAATGCAGATTACCACTTGGATTGCATATTCAACCATTCAGAGATATGAAGGTTTAATTTTTTAAATTTTTAAATAGTCAAAAAAATTATAGGGTCTCAAAGTAATCCATACCGTTATTACAAGATGTCGATATTGCCGGACTTATATAAATCCTTATGTTTTTATTATGGATTCTAGACATTGGAAATGTAATTTGTGTTATCGAGCGAATGATTGTAAGTGTTTGGACAAAGTGATGATTTAAAAAAAAATATTTTTATAGTGCCAGAGGAATTCTTGTGGGATCCACAGACCAAATCATTTGGTGATCCAGGGAGAAGACCAGAATTACAAGAAACTACTATTGAATATATTGCTCCAACTGAATATATGGTTCGTTTATTTTTTGCTTTGATTTCAAAATATTTGGGTATATGGGGTAAAGTGTTCTTATTAAATTTTAAAAGGGTACACATTTTATATTCTCTTATTTTCTTTCATAACATACCAAAATTCTCTTTTTAGCTTCGTGAACCTCAACCTCCAGTCTACTTTTTCTTACTTGACGTAAGCTCAAATGCTGTTGATTGTGGTTATTTGCATATATTTGCCGAACAATTGGCGATTGACATTGATAGATTTCCTGGTAACGAAAATGCACTTATTGGCTTTATGGGTTTTGACTCTGCTCTACATTTCTTTCAATTTGAAGATTCTACATCAGAACCTAAACATATTATTGAATTTGATATTGATGGTTAATTAATTATTTTTTGAAATTTTGATAATTGATTAATTTAGAAAGTTTTCCTCCAGTTTGTTCTGGTTTAGTTGTTCCCCTTGAAGAATTTAAATTGGTTAATTAATTTTTTTAAATACTTTTTAATTTTTATTTTAGAGCATCAAAAAATTTATTTCAAAACTACCTGGTATTTTTGATCATGGAGTTTCTTCTTCAAATTGTCTGGGGTCTGCTCTGGCTGTGACAAAGGAATTAATTGTTAGTTTCTTCTTTTTTTAGTTCTTTATATTTCTTCAATTTTAGGAAGAAATTGGTGGACGTGTGACAATTATGCTTTCATCATTACCTAATATTGGATTAGGTGCTCTCAAATTACGTGATGACTCTAAAGTATTTTTAATATTTTTTGAGAAAATAAATTTGTTAATTCCAACCATTTTTAGGTTTCAAAATTAAAATTTACACCTCAAGTTGATTATTATCGAACATTTGCTTTGGAATGTACAGGAAAACAAATTGCAATTGACCTTTTTGCAATTGGTGAAAGAAATGTTGATCTTCCTACTTTGGGTTGAATTATATATTTATTAAAAAATTTCTTTCAAATTTTTCAGCAGACATTTCTCGTTTTAGTAGTGGGACTGTTTATCACTTTCCAAAATTTCATTTTGTGAGAGGTCAAGCTGAAATAAAACGGCTTCAAATGACTTTACACAGATATTTTACAAGAAAATTGGGATTAGAGGCTGTGTTGAGGATACGTTGTTCTAAAGGTTTTTTCGGAGGAAATGAATTTTTTGAATTTATTTACTAGGTGTTTCTCTGCATTCTTTTTATGGAAATTTCTTTGTGCGGTCGACAGATCTTTTATCATTGCCAAATGTCAGTCCAGACTCTGCTTTAGGTGTACAAATAAAACTTGATGAAACTTTGACTTCTAGCCATGTTTGCTTCCAAGCTGCTCTTCTCTACACTTCAACAAAAGGTTTGAAACAATGATAACATTTTTATCAGTTTAAAAAAAATTTTTTAGGTGATCGTAGAATTCGAGTTCATACACTTAGTTTACCTGTTTTGACAAACACAACGCATGTTTATTCTGCTGTAGATATAAATACAACAATCTCTCTTCTTTCAAAAATGGGTAAGAGCTAAATTTTAAAGAAAGATTTGGGATAGAACAAATACATTCGAGTATTTCAATTTTTTAGCAACTGAACGAGCGCTTTCTGGTTCTGATTTGTCTGACTGTAGAGAAGCTTTAATTAACGCTGTAGTAGATGCTTTGGCAGGTTATCAACGAATTTTGGGACAAACAAGCAGTACTTTAAGAATGCCAGCAGAAGGAGGACTTCAATACATGCCAATCTATGTACTTGGATTACTTAAACATGTAATCAAATATTTTTTAAATATTTAAAGAAAAATTATTTTTTATAGAGAGCATTTTCTGGTGCACAAAAAGCTTCAATGGATGAAAGAATGGCTTCTCTTTTAATGTTTAAAACTGTTGGGATAGAAGTTCTCTTAATGGAAGTTTGTCCAGCATTGTACTCTGTCCATAATTTTGTGGAACAACCGGTAAATTTCTTAACTTTAATAGCTTTTTTGAATATAAAACTGACCAAAAAATTAGGACTGTTATAATTATATAGTTGTTGAGTATATTATTTTAAGGTGATCGAAAATGACCATGCTCAAATCTATCCAGAACGCTTACCGCCCAGGTTCGAATTAAAAGAATATTTTAATTACTTTTATTTTAGTTATGAACAAATCTCAAATGGAGGCATATATTTACTTGATGTGGGAACATCAGTATATTTATATGTATGTTCTGGCGCTAACCCTAAAACAATAAGTGGGCTTTTTGGCGTTAATTGTTTTGAAAAGTTGGATGAAGATGTTTGTTGTTTTTAACATTTTTAAAAGTAATTTTTAAAATATTTTTAAGATTGAATTAGAAGAAGAAACGTCGCAGGGTAAACAAATTACAGCCTTTCTTCAACATTTGCAAGATCAACGATGGAATGTATATGCACCAATAATTGTTATAAGGTTTGGATAATTATTTAAGCTAATTTAATTACAGATTTAAAATTCCATCTAAAAACAACCCCGCAATCCCTTTCAAACCTAAACACTTAAAAATATTTTAAAAACAGGCATTTCCCATCGATGCATTTATTTTAATTTTTAGAAATGACAGCCCGCACAGAGAGCTTTTCGCTAGCAGACTAATTCAGGACAGGACTGATTCCTCGCATTCATACGCTGAATTTATGCAACATATTCAAAGGGAGGTAAATTTAGCCTGTAAATGAATACACTTTAGTTTATATAAAAATATTTTAATGTGATATTTCAATAAAAATTTAAAAAGAAAATAACTTTTTAATGACTTTTGTTGTATTTTATATATAAAATATTAATAACAGTAAAAATTTATACATATAAATTTTAGACATTTGAGATAATATGACAGAAATAATACTAATTTATGTAAAAAATATCACAGGAAATTAAATAGTAACATTTCAAATAAATTATGTCAGAGATGAGTTATGTTGTCAATGGTTGTGTTTGTTTTATACATAGGGGGGAAGATACATAGGGGGAGATAAAATAAATATGGTAGGTATTCTAAAAAACTGAATTGTTAAACTAGTTACCCTAATTTTAGCAACAGAAGGTTATGAGAAACTTTAATACAACCCCTTGAGTCACCCCCACTATTTATTCGATCAAAAATGAAATGTGGGTCAAAAAATGAAATACCGGGAAACAAAGATTAGTCAAAAAGTGTCAATTATTTTGCAGTTGTTAAAATTAAATTAAAAAAAGTTATATTGCCGCATTGAAGTATTATTTTAAAGAAACTTTTCTTAAATTGTTGAGGGTTTAATTATGCCATATTTTGAGTTAATCCCCTGTCCAGCCTTCTATAACGATATAATCTGTAATTTCCATTTAATTGTTTCTTCCTAATTTGATAAGTTTTCCAAATAAAAGCAACAACAATAATAAAAGAAAATAAATATAGAATAATCCAAGTGTAATTTGATAATTGAATAGTTGATCTAAAGTTTAATAATTTTAAATTTGTTACCCACTGGGCGAGAGATCTGCCATACCCTCTATTTAAGATACACTCATTATAAGGTACAATTTCTTTTCAAATCCAAGTGTCTATCTTATATGTAGAAAGGCCTGGCTTTATTTAAAATCTTACCTTAATTCTGCGGATCCACTGGCTTTAACTGGAAAGTCACGCATTTGATAAATCATTGCCCCCAAAGCCTTAAAAAGGATAAATTAAAAAATAAATTTTTAAATAAAAATTTAAATTACCCATTGTACTTCTTGTCCTTTAATTTTAAAAGCACTTTGGAAATGATTTCTTTTTTCTTCTACATAAAATCCATTATGTAAAATTGCATGGATCCATGCTGATTTAAAACATTGTGTTTCAATTCTGTCGCGGTCTGCTTTTGGATATTGTTTTGCACGAACTTTTTTCTTTTAAGAGAAGAATAGTTTTAGAAAAAAATTATAAAATAATTATAGGCGAAAAAACAACAGATTTACAAATAGTTGGTCAAACTGGTTTTAAAATGGATAGGTGGTATCCAGGAAATCCAAAATTTTATATTTGCCAATTGGGTACAACTCGAAAAAATTAGGAACTGTTAATTTATAAAAATTTAAAAAACCTTAATTTCTCTCCATGTTTGCCGACAAAATTGTTTAGCTTTTTCTTCAAAAATA